TAGTATATTAAAGCTATAGAAATATAATTAATAATATTAAAACATCCCCGAAATATCATGTGTCTCCTAACCTGTAGCTACTGTTATTCCGGACTCTTTATCCTCTTTTATATAAATGTATAATCAACAAATTACAATGCGTTTTATGTGAAAAAACCGGTTGTTTTAATATGGTTTAAAAGAATGTATCCAGCAAATCATAAAACCATTTTCGTTTTGGACCATACTCCATATTTTGGTATATCTAGTGAGGCTCGTTTAGAATTTGATTTTCTGAAGAGTCGTGGTCAGAATTTGATCCCCTTAGCACCCGTTTGTAAATCATTATGGACCACCAGTGTAGAAGCCTCATTAGAATATTGTCGAATAGTATGGGATTTATTTCCAACCGGGAAATTGGTAAGATAGAATTTTACTCCCTCAGTATTATTAGACAAAATTTCCATATAGCTTGAAAGCAATTCTTTTTTTACAGATAAGATTTGTCGTAACCGACCGTGCAGCTTACGTATTAAATTCTTGGAGCCCCACTCAACAAAATTTAAATCATGTAAATATTTTTAAAGTTCTTAACATTTCGATGTTGGACGTAATAGTTCTGTTTCTTACTAAGTTTATTCTGTTCACAGATAATGAATGGTACAGCTATTCTAGGAGTGCCTACAAAGTCTCCAAAGCCTGGCGAAGATTATTCAGTCATACATGGTTTGAGAGTAGCTATAGAAACCCTTAACGAATGTTCAGAGATCCAGCATGAGAAGAGGACTTCTTTAAATGAGAATGCTAGTAAACTTGTTAACAGAGGAAGAGTAATATGTATCACCAGTGCAAGAGACAACAGTAACATGAAGAACTTGGAGAACATATTTTTAAGTGAATTGGCACAGGAGAATAAAAATGCTTTAGCATCAGATCAGTTGGTATCTATATAAATACTACGAGGTATCATATATATTAATTTTATAACATGTTTCCTCTATTCTGTTCCAGTTTAATACCCGTAGATTATTGCCACTTAGTCATACTAAACATATTCCCCAACAATATTGAATCGCAAGTCACTAGTCAAGGGCCAAGAGAGGTATTTTAATTATTTCATCATAAACCGATAACAAAATATACGAATTAATTCTCACATAAAGAACTTCTGTTTCAGGTTTCGCCGCTGTTAACGGTAGAAGTGCATTCTATTAAGGCACCAGCTTTGCATTCGAAATTGTCGCATTTAATTTTATCACATTACGATTTGGCTAGTACAACGGTAACTGGTATACCAATGAAAGAAGAACAGAATGCCAGTTCCTCCGCGAATTACGATGTCGAGATATTTCATTCTTCCGCGGCGCATTCCGCAATTTTAAAAGGTTCTTCATTTCTTACACAACGATATCTTTCACGTAAAATCATGATACAAATATTTCTACAGGAAATCCACAAGATTCCGCTTTAATCAAGACATTTATAAGATTCGAGGAGGGTTCTCAATACGAAACCGTGACTTTAAAATGGTGCACTCCGCGGGGATGCAGTGCAGCCGAAATGCAAAATTGCACAGCTATGCACAGAATCACACCAGTAGACGTGAACAGTAGACCCTCGTCCTGTTTGATTAACTTTTTACTAAACGGAAGATCCGTGATGCTGGAAATGGCCAGGAAAAGCGGAGGGAAAACTATATCTCATTTGCTCGCTGCACACGGCGGAGAAATTTTTATACACACGTTATCCACGGCCAGAAGCGTATTAGAGGATCCACCTTCTATCAGCGAAGGCTGTGGTGGTCGAGTTACCGATTATAGAATAACTGTAAATATAAGTTATGATTAGCGGTATCAAAAAAATATATTCTTTAACTAACATTCTATTGATTGTAGGATTTCGGGAAACTTATGAGAAACAATATATTAGTGCCTTTGAAAAGAAACACGAGCTGTAACAGCGAAGGTCCTGCAGAAAAAATGAGATCCAGAATGGAGAGGCATACGAAATATTGGCCGATTACAATCTCTAGTACTCTTATGTTTAATTTGAAACAGGTACGTGTGGCAGTCAGAAATCTTATTCAATGAACTAATTTATCAGACACTCGTAAACTTATTTTTTATTCTAGTTTATAAATCCATTACCAGATTTAATGGTGAAGGAAGAACTTACTGCGGAGGAAGTCGTACAATGCAAACAAGTGATCTTTAGTTTATTGCAATTGGAAGCGAAACACGAAGCGTTACCCTTGCCAAGTATAGGCGGTGGGCGCGGCGGGAAAGGTGGTGTACGCAGGGAAGAACACTACAGGCTTTTGTGGGGCGAAATAGAAACGTTTTTAAAGTATCATGCAAATAATTCGGCTGCGCACTCCGAAGTTCTGACATGTCTGCTCGAAGTTCGAAGCAAAGATGACAAAGACAAAGTTGAACTGGACCAAGCATTACGCGAATTAGATGGGTAAGGGTCATTTTTAGGAACACTAGAGAAGACAATATGCGGAGATTTTAATCGATCTATGAAATATTTTTGAAAACAGATTCGGAAAAGACGGCGGAGCCACACGGGCCAGTGTAATAAGAGCGACGACGGATTCACCGATGTCGCCACCGCCTAGTACATCGATGTCCCTCGGGAAACAAATTCACAAAAGCGGTATTTACGCGCCTAAAAGTTTGCTAGATATTTGGTTGCAGCGGAGTGCACCCAAAGAGAAAAAGTCAGATTTTCATGGAAGATTGAACGGCGATGGTCTCAAAGCGAAATTGTACCCGAACATAAAGGAGACTGGCCGGGAACCTCGCGAAACTATTCTAGAAGGCTAACAACTTAACTCGCGAAGTTACGTATTGACATGGAATTACCGCGTAAGCTTAAAGACTACAATGACTACTAGCTATTCGTTGTTCAGTGACGATGCACGAATCTTCTCAACAGAAAAGAATAAAAACTTCTTTTTAATTACAATGGGGATTTAAATTATTTCATGCCCAGAACAAAACTTCAATTACTTTATGCGAAGATGATATCCATGTACTTTCTATAGAAACTAGTATATGTAAATGACCCAGAGGTACATATGCCTTTTCATATTTCCAGTTAGATGAAAGGAAATACGAAAGAAATGTCTATAGAAATTGTATGGAGAAAAAGTTAGCCACCAGCTAGTAGCGCGAAGATCAAATCGCAAAGAGTTGCGATGCAACCGGGAGATAATCAGCCGCGCTTGAGAGGAACACATGCGGATGAGATCGGGTGCATCTGCGGCCAAAGATACGTGTGGCAGAACACTGCGAAGCGAAGCGCGAAAGTGTATCAGTGGTACAACGAAAGCGATCCACTCTCTGCTTCCTCATCCCCCCGACGGCGTCCTTCCGTCCCTCGGCCGTTTTACAGGCGGCAGACACGTCTGCCGGGTGTCTGAGCCACCGCGATACGTTGACCTCCATCGAAACTATAGCTCTCTATCGTCTCTCCCTCCCGCGTGGCTGGAATTCCGCCGCTAATCGATGGAAGGAAGGAGGAAGGTATGCTCTTGCTGGCTGCACATAATATAATGCGAGCACGAGACCGGGGCGAGGAGAGGAAAAGAGAGAGAGAGTAAGAGAATGCGAAAGAGACGGAGATTGAATCGACGGATGAGGAGAAGCATGCAGTAGAAGAGTGAGAGAGAGAGTGAGGCGGAAGGGGATCAGAGAGTACAAGTGCGTGACGTAATGGTTCATTCATCCCGAGACAGACGATATCCCGGTCAATGGCGTATATGTATATATACATGCATTGAAGTATGTACACACCTACGTGCACGCGTGTCCTCCGTGTGTGCGACACGTGAAGTACACACATGCGAGCACGTGATGTTCGTTCGTTCGTTCGTCTCGTTTTGGTTCGCTTCGTTCCTCGCTTCAGCCGGTTACACCGTGTACCGGGCTTTCCTTTGCCGTCTAGTGTTTCGGATAAATCAGTCGCAGACACATGATACGCGTGAACTGACCCTGGCAATAGCAGCTCGCGTTGTCCGGATTCTTCTTATCGGAGTCGCTGTCGGTGTTATCTTATGCAATTGTTACGGTTCCGTTCGCGTTGAATATTGAATAATCGGTGTACGGAACTCCAAGCGATTAATAACTCTTCTATCTACGTAATTGAATAGTACGTGCGGTTCTAATGTTGGACTTAAAAGCGTGAATTGCTCGTATTATTGTAATTGATAAGAACAACATTCCTTCCTTCTGTTACTTGTCTTATAATGCACCCAATTCATTGACTTTTTACCATTTCGAAATTGTATCCTGTTTTCATTGTCCAGCTTTAATCTTGTTCGTTAAAAATTCTTCAGTTCCCCTCGTCGACTATCGTTTTGATCACAGAGAGATCAATAACGTAATTCGAGGTAATCGTTGGAAAATTCCACGTTAATTAAGCAACGCGTTTCGTGATCAAAAAACTCAACTTTTTCTTGCAGTAGTTTTTTTGGCATTTCATCAATGTTAACGGTCGCGGTAATTAAACAGTGACACGTCATTACCCATCTCGGCGGGGTTGGTTTTCCTTTCGCCGATCAGTTCAGTGACCCTTTGGCTAGGATCGATATTTGGCGTAGATAGGCAAGGTAAATTATAAACGGTGTGCTCTTCTTCGTGCTACCACCTGCACGCAGCTGTGTAGCGTCCGATCAATAATTCTATCTAATTTACTTTTCCAGCTGCGACGCAGCTCGAATTTTCCATAGAAAATAATCAAACATGTCGCGCGACTATTATCTAATCAGCCATCGCAAATTAAATGATGTAATTGTAGATTAAATCCTCAATAATTCACACACATGTTACAGTTAAGTTACTTCATCAGAGATATGAATCTTCGTTCAGAGAAACTAATCCAAGCGTTGACGTACTTTAAGGAACAACGTGGCAATACCTACACGCATTTTGCTATGCATTTGCATATTTTTTTACTTCATGCTCTATCGCATCGCAATTTTGCCTTCTTTTACCTTTAGGTGGATGGGTACGAGCCGTAGGGCACAGAAGATGCATCGATAATGCATGGCGTTATCGATTCTTGGTACACATCGGCAAGTTCCTGAAGTGGATATCGATCTGTGCAGGAGAAGCGACGTGCTCCGTTTGCCAACCCTCTATAATTCATCGCCGCTTCGCTTCCTGGTCTTTGTGCCTCCCGGACAGGGCCGACGCTTCCTCCAGTATTGAGTTTCGTATTTCTGGAACGTCATCTAAGCGCGGGAACGCTTCTTTCCAAATATACGTAATCGTAAATCCTCTTATGTCGCCGTTGATCTTATTACAAACTGGATAAAATGGTTGTGATAAGTCTGTCCGACTCGGTCTTTTTCTTCGCTTCCTTAAATTAAATATTCCACACCTGTCCATATCGTAAATATTAATAAGAATCAAGTGAATTGTGGGAGACAGGCTACAAAGCGTAGACTTGAACGCTTCTTATTGCTTTAATATTAAAAAGCTGACAATACGTTGGTTCTTATCCATCAAGGAAAATTTCAAATCACTTAAAAGAATGAGGTTCTAAATTAAATGAAAGAGAAAGCCTTTCTTCCCGCAACGAAGGGAGATTTGGTTCTCTGAATATTTCCAGCTACGTTCTGCCTAACGTATTCCATTGAGGCAGCGGAAGGCATGCAGGACTCGTTTTCCCGCTGCGCTCCCCGAGGGTCAGGGCTGTCTCTTTGTCGTCCCTTTTTCAGAGGCTGCCTCTCTGGTTCGAGCTCACGGCGCAGCAGCCCCAACGACGTGCCACGCAGCAGCTGCCTCTCTCTCTCGAAGAGAGACGTTTTTCAAAGTCCCCTCGCAGTGCTAACGATCACCGGTTCTCCTCTTCCTATCCCCGATGTGAAGCGCGCCGAGGCGAGGGTCGAAAATCCCGCTGGGAGATTATTTTTCCCTCGCCGATCCCCCTGGCTTCCCTTCCCCGTCGCTCTGTCCTGGCCTTTTCCAACGACCGACGACTCGAAGGAACATTACGGCTCCGGAATACGTTCCCGGATGCCAAGAGAAACTTCTCTGCCTTCGCTCTTCGACTGTATCCCGGCGATTTCATCGCCTCTTACGATTCTTATCGCAGAACGACTTGAAAGTTTTTTACGTACTCGTCCTTTTCAGTATTCTGCTTTTTTTCTAATTTTCGATGTTATCTCGACTTGATAATATTGAACTCATGTATAAAGTCATTACATTTAGCCGTCTCCATCAGAATCAGCAGAGAAGCATATAACAAACGGAACATGTAGCCAAAGACAATTGCGTTTATAAAGCCTGTCATGGTATCGTCACCGTTTTTCCATCGGACTCGCACTGTATTATTGAACAAGTTATTACGCGCTTCTAGAGCCAAGAACTACACACTTGTGCCTTCCGCGAGACGGAGGCCCTTTGATCCGATTATAACGCACGAAGTACACGACATCCGCTGATCGAAGCAGGACGTTCGCCTCGATATTCTTAATTAAACAATGTTAAATACTATCAACCAAAATGCGAATTGCGATTCGGAGATAATCCGGAGAAAGCGCATTAAAAGGCGGCGAAACAGTTGAGAGAGGGTGAAGGAAGGGTGTCCCTCGAATCGCCCCCGCCATGGTAACGTCGTAGCAAGCACGTGCTTGCTACGTCACCGGAGCGTGTTTACAGAGATACCTATAGCCGTACTCGTGACCTTGTGTTTTGTATATATCATCCTCCCTCCTGACGGCCGCGGGAACACCCCGCGACACCCGCGGACCCGGGAATACCCCCACATCCGAGTGTATCGTCTCTCCTCTCCCTTTCGACCTCCCCGGTACACGAGAGGAGCTCCTCAAACTCCCCATGAGGCAACCAGTTGTTCCGTCTGTGACGTAACCGGGGTATCACACGACCTGTCGGGTGCTCGCTTTGTTGCATCCTGTCCCGCTCCACTCTTCCGGTCCCTCTCGCTCCGGTTGAAACCCGGTCGGTCTTCTTTCTCCTACCTCCCCGTCTCCACCGCTTTCTCTTTCGTTTCGCGTTCTTCTCCTCTCTGTCGATCCTCCGCGAGTTCGGTTCCCTCCTTGTCCGTCCATCCAGGCCGGCTTCCCGGTTCGTCTCTTTTCGTTTACCGAGCTGCTATGTACATATACGTCCGTCTCTATCCCGCGGCCGCTCGCTGTTCGGAATTCCCTTCCCGTGCCTATACACACGCCTTGTCTCCTTTTCTCCACCTCTGTAACTCGGCACCGCAACTCGCACCGTGCTTTCTCGTCTATGCGTGTATACGAAGGTTCCGTCTCTGTGTGCGCGTTCACCTCGTGATCCAAGAGAGTGAAAGTGAAAGAGAAAGATCGGAGAGAGAGAGAGAACGTGGAAGAGGATGGTTTAAATGGGTGAACACATCACCTCGAAGGACGTGGCAGAACTTACTGGGTCACTGGAACGACCCTGATGACCCCACGTTCCTTTTGTTGGCTTTTCTACTGGCTTAATGGATCGGGGATAGACTGTTGCACGGGAGTTATAAATCGCAATGCTCTCTGCATTTGGTTTCATCGAGGAGGATCGAATTTAGGCAGTGTGTCCTTGTATGAGATTGTACACGAGATGAAATCTTCGTTGCACATTCCATTTTCGTCGAAGGGAATTCATCTTTGTAGCTGTCGTGCTGTTCCTGGCAACGGACCTCGTGGGAAGTGGCTACTTTTGTCTTTAATAATTTTAGAAGCGTCGGAAAGGAACGCTTGGAGATGGTCGCGACTAAAATAGTAACGCCGCGCCGAGAGGAACGAAGCTTCCTTACCGCGTGCATCGACTTTCATTCCTGTTCCAATTCCTTCATTAATGCAGAACATCTTCCGCGAGAGATAGAACAATTTTAAATCTATTACTGTACTGTACTGTACTGTAAATTAATTTCAAACTTCGTTTTCATCTGACTGCAAAGCGAAGTCTCATCATGGAAGCAGGCGAGGGACGAGTACTCGGAGAAAGTCAAATAGATTAGAGAGTGCTTCACTTTCACTTTGTCAGAGCAACCATGTTCTGTACGTTTGAATTAGATGATCCTCGGCCGAGCTCACACTTTAAAAAGGTTCAATATCATCGTTATGCTTTTATCTATTCGATGATCCAACACTTATTCATATCTCTTGCAATCAAATCAAATCAATGATCATTCATTACATCATGTCAATAATCAGGAGGCCAAGTACCATCGTCGTCTCTCTCGTGTCATAATTATCATCAACATCGGGAACCGCCTCGTACAATAGACTCGATTAACGACGTCCACATTATTTTCACCGTTCAGCTAATCACAATGTTTCTTTTCTAATCGACGAGCCAATTATCTCGAGAATTCGTTTCGTTTCAATTGAACCATCGACTTCCAATCAGCCCGTGATCATCGATTCGCGGGCACGGGTTAATGGACGTATAATTACGCTCACGTATCGCGTTTTATGTTCCCATTAAAACATACCTCCTCGATCAGGAAGCAATTCTGAATATGCAGAAGAGAAACATGGAAACAGTTATTGACATTTGGTTGATAAAACATATGTGAAATTCATATGATAATAATGCACGAAGGTACGATAAAACGGTTGCGTATTAACAAACTTAAATGCTGAACTCAGGTTTTAATCTGTGTATGAAAATTTTTGCTAGATGAGTAATGAGCTCATGCCGAACGGACTGTGAAGCACGTGAAAATGAACAAAAGGTGAGCGTAAAAGGAATCGATTGCTTCCATTTTCCAACTGGATTGTCTAGAAGGAAAAAACATCGACATTTCCCTTTTTTTTTCTCTGCTCTATAAAAAAATATCTCCCCTCGTCCGTTTTCTTTCGTTACTATGTTTACGCCGTTATAAAGGCGAATGTGGGATAAAATGTAAAAAAAAAATAACAATTTTTCACAGCGACGTAAATACTGCACGTGGCTGATCCCTTTTTTCATTACTCTTTTGTTTCATCTTATCAACCCATATACCGTGCATATACCCATAGAAAAGAACGGAAAAGTAAAAAATGTCTGACGAGTATGATGTTATAAAATAAATGAGAAGCAATGACAAACCGAGTGAGTGCATACATGTATATGTATCTGGTTTCTCGCAGGCAGAACACTGATAAGAACGTAACGTTTTCAAATAATTTATTTAACCTCGTACTTCGCAATGACATCACGTTACTTTACAATTAATCCAAAAAATTACACGTCGCTATTTCTTCAATGGAGAAACGAAAAATCGTGATCGGTCGTAGAAGCGCTGCTCTATACAAATATTATAACTGGCTACCGGGAATTCCTCGGAAATCGCCGTGCGGCCCTTCGATCGAAAACGTATATATTAGAAATGAATCACGCTCCGGAAAAGTGGGGTGCGAAAAATCGGTTAGTAGAGATGGCATACGCAACGACTGATCGCTACGGATCGTCGGTGTGCTAAAAGTCGACTCGGTGCTCGTCGAAGGCAAGGCAAAAGGTGATATCTCTTTTAGTTCTTTCGTCAGCCGAAAACGAATTAGACACGATACAGAGAACAATAGCCCATGACGCGTTCGTCGGTTCGTTCACGATCACTTAATTAGTAACATGAAATGGCAGTTTGTCAAGGTGATCAGCGATCCGATCACCGAGGATCTCCAGACGAAAATTCACTTTATTTCTCGGCTACTTTTAACCAACAGTGAAAACAGTGTACTTTCGTCTTTGAACAACGTCTTGCGACACCTGAGATACATGAATCTCGATCGGCAGAGATCATCGTGCTTCATTTTTATGATTCGATTGACCGAGGATTAATGCGTTAATTGTTAACGTCGATTCGATGTCGCGAGGTAAACATGGTCCGAAGACTCGATAATTAAATCGTAGTCTCGATTTATTAATTCCGTCCGATGAGCGTGAAGCACGAAGATCGATCGGGTTGTGCTCCAAGTTACGCGTCTGTCTCACTGTCAATAGTTTAAACCTTGTTTTTCAGCCCCTGGCGCAACGAGAACGCGAAATCTGCTGGAAAGTAAGTTGTCATTTGTTTGTTCTCATGTTTATCAAGGATGTGAAAAACGAAGGAGTATGCGTCTTTCCTTGTGATCATTCAAATACTCTAATTTCATAACTAAAAGATCTTATTTATGCGAACTGTATCACGAAGATAAATTTTGTAAAGGCAAGTAATTAATCGTAATTATTTTTAACGAAGGAGACCTTCCTTTTTCGTCCGAGAAAATTCATAGGTGGTTAAAAAAAATGAAAGAAACAGGAAGAGAAAGTTCAGTGGGAAACAGAGTAATACGAGAGTACTTCGTGTGGGACGCGAAATTTCGTCGCTTCTCTCGCGTGCTTAAGATATTTTCGGTTTGCAAGAGGAATTTAGTCGTATTGCTCACGCGGTTCTGTGTCTCTGCGTTTTGCATTTCCTCTTCTTCACGGAGAATTTGCTCGAATGCGTAATTGATTAATTATCAAATTATAGCCGAGAAATTTATAATCTATAGAGGACAATAATTTTTACTTTATAAAATTTTGACATTTAAAAAGGATTATAAAAGTTCGAAAATTTAGAGAGAAAGAGAGAGAGAGAGAGAGAGAGAGAGAGAGAGAAAGAGAGTGATAACAGAAAACAAGAATAAATCAGTGTGGAATGTCTTGTATAATTATGTGCGAGAATAATAATTTACCAAGGCGTTTCAGAAGAGAAAGAATAAAACAAACAACATCGCTACATTAAATCCGTTTACGTTTATAAGACAATAGAAACTATGCGTCGCCGTCGTCCGTAATAGTATTAATAGCAGCAATAATATAATCGTAATCATAATCATAATTATAATAATAATCATAAATCTTCAACTTCATCATCCTAGTTATCGTAATCAATCGCCGTAGCTCACAAATGTGTATAAGTGCTCAATCTTATATCGTCATCGTCGTCATGATATTAATTACTAAATTATGTTAACTCCCTAAATTATCGCAGAAAAACGTCTGTTAGTCCAACGACTCTATCCAACATTGTTCATAGATTTTCTATGAAACTTCTGCTCCTCGTCATCTCGAACAAAAGCGAGTGCGATTTTCCTGACTCCTTCCCACGCATACGATCCGTCCATGTACGTAATATACAGGATGATCGCGCAATTATTTTCCAGTCTTTCTTTCCCACGAGACATGAAAAGTATGTAGAAAAATTTAAGACACAAGTTAATTCTTCTGTCCCAAACATTTCCTTATATGTTTCACATGTGGAAAGAAAGCTATATAGGAAACAACGTTACGAGCGTCCAGTACATAAATATATAAGTGTATATCTATATATTCGTGTATTCTCTTTCTTTGTCAACAAAACGATCGATACGAAATAAATTAGGCGCTAAATAAATAGAATGATTCACTACGATACTTTTTTAATCGATCAGCTTCTTCATCCATACTCGCTGCATTTACCGTACTCCTCATCCTTTTCGTCCTTGTCTCCTGGCTCAAAATATACGATATTGCGCGTACGAATTTTTTGACGAGCTTGTTCGTAAAATCTTTCACGATATATCACCACTAATAATATCATTTCTCGATTACTATAGCGGTCAGGTTCTTCCTTGCACGTCGAAATCAAGCTTCGGACGCGATAACGTAATCGACGGAACAGTAGAAATTAAATCGGTCTGCGCGGAAGGATATTCTTCCGTGTAGTTTCCGCTTCTCTTTTTTCCGTTCTAGTGCAGCCAAACGCAACTGTATTAGGTTGTTGTGTGTGTTTATTTATTAATAGGGTCGGTAGCTAGAGCAGCCTGGCAGCACTGTTCTAAATTACAAATATATATATAATATGTATATTTATAAAATTTGAATGAACGTTCTTGATCAAGCTATAATGGTTTGTTTTATTTATTTCTCTCTCTCGCAATCGTTGGACACACTCGTTCGTCAACGCTCACATACTCTCTCTCTTCCTTGCTCTTTTTCTATATATATATATATATGTATATATCGGTTTTTTAAGATCATCGTTATACCTCTATTATCTCGTGAAATCATTTTTTTTTTGCTTCTTATTCGTTTGCCAACGGTTCATTATCATATTCGTTAATTGTCATTTATTTTCTATCTCACGTTTACTCTTCTCCGTCTCTGTTCTTCCTCGATAATTAATAATGCAAAAATACTAGTTAAATCCCTGTACATGAAAAACTTTTGCTGTGTCTGTTCGCGGTGTGCTCTGTATATTTCGGGTGTGTTACCGTCCTCTGCATGAGTCGCCCCATACGTATAATACGTATGTATGTATATGTGCGCAGGTCCGCCGCCACACAATGCCACTTCATATTCGTTTTTGTTTTTCCTCCTTTTTTTGTTGGTGGACTCAAAAAAGCGTTACTTTTATTTGTTTCTAAAGTTTCTTTTTACTTACAAGGTATTTGGTTTGCTCCATGCATCACTCTGGCATGCAGTTTCGTTTAGGTATATAAATTATGGTAATGATTCGGTATTATAATTATAATAATTATTATTATTAATATTAATATTATCATTGTGTTTCCGGTGTGTCTCGTCGCTTTTTTCGTTTTTCCTTATACTTTTCTTGTTGGTCACGGAATCAGTTACTCAATTCATCTCTCACACTCGATTTTTTTTATACATTTTCTCTCCGTCTCTCTCACTCTCTTTCTGCGTAACGTCACTCTCATTCACTATACACACTCGCGAATTCTCTTTTTTTTTTAAAAAGAAGAAACACGACGACGTGTCGCCCTTCATTTTTCCCGTGGCCTTAAACGCTGGTATGGATGACTGGTAAAAAGGAATGATGTCTTTTCTGTATTCGTTTTTGTATTTCATTTTGTTATTTCGTGTAACAAGCAGCAAGGGTTCGAAAGGCCGCTCCGATCGTAGAAAAATGTCCATTTTTCTAAACCACGGCACGCGGCAGAAAAATTGAGGAAGCTCCGCCAGCTCGAGGTTTCCCCTGTCGAATCTTAAGAAAAACATGGCTACACTAGTATTATCACATCGTATAAAAACCTACGCGAACCTGAACTAGAAGAGTATATTGTTACTCTCAAGAAGTTGATCAACGAATTAGCCAATACGCCCACGTAGAGAAAGAAAATGAAAAGAATGAAAAAAGAAGTATTAGAAATATCGGTCGAGCTTTACCTCTTTTTTCTGCCTCCGATCGAGAATGCCCGATAAAATTCTAAAAACCATCCAATGCTTTCACACAACTTCCACTTCCGTGAAACACTATTTTACACTAAGTCTCGGGGACAATCTTTAGGAGGGGGGTGATATAGGAGCGGGAAAGGCGTCGAAGAATGTGACGAAGCTCAAGGATAAATAATTGAAAAAAAGATAAAAAAGGAAGTGTGAGAGAGTGGGACTGGAGGAGAGTCATGAAAAAACGATCGACGATGGTGCGACGATGGTAGGCTACTGTGGTCTACTATCCGCGATCCTGATCTCGGTGACCCCTTTGACGGTGTTGTTTTTAGAGGCGCCTCGTCGCGATCAGCGTTAGATTGGCGGCCGACACGAGGGTGCTGACGTTGTTGTTGTTGTTGCTCGTATTCGTAGTTCCCTGTCTAGCGGTGGGTCACTTCTTGCTTTTCTTGCTGGGCGGCTCCTGCGCGTCCTGCGAGTCCTCGGTATCCTCGCTATCGGTGGGTCGTGGCGTGTTGTTGCTGTCGTCGTTATCGTTCGTCACGAGCGAGTCATTCGTATCCTCGTTGACAACCGCCGCTGTAATCGGCGAGTCCTCGGTGAAGCACGTGGTCATGCTGTTCTCATCGATGGCCGCCGGATCAATACTACCCGGTTCACCCTTACCGTTCACCGTCGCTTCCTGATTGCTGTCGTCCGACGGCTCCGTCGCCTCGCCGTTGCTGGGCGGATGAGAATTACCGTTCTCCGTCGAGGCCGGGATCCCGTCGAGCAGCTCTGGTTTCAGCTCGGACGCGACATAGTGGGTCCACAAGGCGAGTTCCACCCTATGCGGGCTCCATGATTTGCCGTTCGACGCTGAAAAAGAAACAAAACGAAAGATTGTCTCGGTGTTCGACGAACACTCCTCGTTGATTTCATGTTACGCAATATCTTTTGATCGGCGAATACGATTGATCTAATCTATTACAGATACGAATCCTCACGTATTATGTACGTAACAATATTTGTTTTTCGATATTCTTATGAAGGCTTTTATGAGACGAGCAGAGTGAAATTGTAGGAAATTTATCATGTCGAAATAACTGAGCAAATGAATTAGCAAAGATACTCACTTTGTTTGTTCAGCCTCTCGACGGTATTTTGAATGTGCTGGACAAAGTTAAGGTACTCCTTCGTGGTATAATCGATGCCCTCGATTTGTGGTATTGCCATCAAACATTCATCTGCCATGAAGGGTGCATTCTCCGGTGATGCGGCTGCCAATAGGGCCGACGCCATCGTGGTGCCTACTCCTTTCAAATTCGACAGGGCGGTAATAGCTTGTTCAAGATTCGGAAGTTTTTTGAATGCCTTTCTCGTTTCCGCCATCACGGCGCGCGGTGTGTTCACTTTTACTAAATATGACAGTTGTGGATAAAACTTCCCACGCTATAAAAAACAGAAAAATTACGCGGTTAAAAAATCGCGATGCGCAAATAAAGCTGTTTTAATATTGGCTGCGCGTTCGCATCGCGAGCCGCGTTTCAACAGTTTAATAGAGATCTGTCGCTTAGTAAACTTAAACTCTGAGAAGGAAAACCCCGTGCAATGCATTAATCGTTTAGGAATGATGAAAATCGAATTCACTCACTGTTTGTTTCCATTTCATCGTTTGCACCAATTCCTCGTGATTGAGATGCGCGTCCTTGCCGCGCGACTTGATCTTCTTCGGAAGCTCATTCTGATACCTACGAACAGAAAACGTCATCGGACGGTCAGCCGAAGAATGATCGCGCGCGATGCACAATGAGGGCATGAGGGTGTGCAAGATCACGGTTACATCGGGCCGATGACGTAACCGGTGGGAGAGCGGAGAATATAGGAATCACGGAATACTGATTAAAAATGCAGCCGCAAGAAGTGGTTTTCCACCTACTGACATTCGCGTGGGCTGTCTGACACGACGCTGGAACACGAGCCAAATTGAGGACACGTTCTCTACCATTGGATTCTCCAACGTGCTCTTAAATCTCGCTATGTGGTTAACAATTATTTCACTACTAGTCTCAAATATATTCATTTTTCTAACAATTAATCATACCTTGCATGATTTTACAATTCCCATGAATTACTGATTTATGTTGATTCGTTATTCGAAGCAAATAAGATTATTTTAACATCGACCTTAAACTCTGTTCTTGATTTTCACAATTTAATAACACGGACTACAAGCCCGCGCATGCTAGTTCCTTCCATAAATTAGAATGCATTTAAATATTAACGCGTCTTGCGGGAAACCACCTTGAAAATCGACACGAAAGGGAACGCACGTGCGCGAGTTTTGACAGATTCACGCGCACTGAAAATACGATTTCCGACGTGCTGGTACGTATCGTTCAAATATTATGAAACGAGAAGTCTTGGCGAGAGCCGTCAGTTTTACTACTTATATATAGATAAATTCTGTGTTCTAGTGTTAAAAATCTGGTTTTCGTTTAGCGACGGAACGTCTCGGTTCAGGTAACGTGTTCCCTCTTTTCTTACTCCATCCTCCTACCCCTCTTTCTTTGTCCCCATTATTCGGGTCATCGACACGGGACAAGTTCTCTGTTCTTTGGTAGGAGGCAAAGGCGCACTGCATCCGTGAACACGGCCACGCAACAAGAGCAATAGAGAGGGATGCACTCTCTCGCGTGGTTTTATTGTAGGTACTTTCGGAGGTCGGCTCGGGATCAGCTGTTTGGCTGAACAGCTAAACTTAGTTACGGATAGTTTGTATTTCATTCATATAATGCGATACTTGGACACGTGTTTCCTTGAATTACGACCGGCCGGCCGGCACGGCGCGTGGTAGCGATGATTCGCCCAGGAAAAAGAATGTACGTGAAGCTCTACCTGACTTGTGATTATCGCTCTATGCTAATTAGTCTAACTACGGCGTACGCGTATTATAATTATTGCCACACACTAATTTCAATAAATGTATGATACAGGCCTGTGTTGATTCACACTTGTTTTATCAATAAACGTGCTACGATTTTACGTGAGCACTGACGTAATATCATATAACATAGTTCCCGCTTTAATGACAGGCCAAAGATAAGAAGAGATTTCTAGTTCGCGATAAACCTGCAATGATAATGAACTGTATTATCGTAAACGAAGGAAAAGTAATACCAAGGATACCGTGGCATGGGCTAGTTAGTTTGTCCCGCAGCCAAAAGTAATTTCTCAAACGAGAGTTCAACCGCCGTGTCTCCACGTCTTTTTTTCCCTCTGCTCGCAATAAAGCTGAGATAAGAATACAATGGGTCCTTTTCCTCGCAAAATAAACCTCACCCGATATCACAACAATAATTCACTGAAATTCATGTGAACGAAGATTTGTAAAAGGCAGAGTTTCATTTTTAACTGAGCACGAAGATTAAACAGAATCAGAGATAGGGAAGGAGAATCATTTGAGGAACAAGAAAAACTAAATTAAATACGCTAGAGATAAAAAATGTGATACTGAACTGGTTTCGTTCTGCCAGTTTTCACGAACTAAAAGAACATGGACAACGAAGCCTTTAAAGTGACTTCGATCGTAGAATTAATATTAAATGAGAGTCTAAATGAAACTTTCAACTGGAAGGATCATTCAAAGATGCACTCAGATATTCGCTTGGTCATCAATTGGCTTCGGTCGACTTGCACGTGAACCTGAAAGAATTTCCAAAACCTTACAAGCTCGATGTAACTATGTACATGAACAATGATATATAGATCACTGATTGGTTCAACTACGACGTTACGAAGAATCATATGAAAGTTGTGTTCCATTGCTTGAAACTGCATTTACAAAATTGACGTAAAATCAAGAATACTCCTGCGTTCTATCCCTACTATAAATAGTATTCCTATCAGCTGATGCAGTATATCATTAACCACAGATTAAAGCACAAGATTTATCAATGTTATTTCCGACATAAATTTTGTACATCTTTATACTCTGTTTACTGTGTAATCCTTGAACACTCGTACATTGTTCCCATCATTATTTTACGCCGATTGTCCTATAGAAACCCCAAAAACAATCGGCTCGAGTGGCGTAACGGCGCGTTTCTTTGGTACGCTTCTTTCGAGCCGACTCGAAACCTTTTCAAGACAGAGTTTTGCTCGCGCAACCATTTTGAGAGGCTCTTTCGCTCGCCACGCAACGTGCTCTCCGCAAAAACAACCTTGACACAATCGCCGCGCTTTAACGCCAAAGAGGAGGATTGTGCCTCGCGAGAACCAACTCCGCAAGCCTTCGTTTTTCCTTCTCGCTTTTACAATTCCTCTCCCCTTTCGTCGCGCGTGAATATTTCGCGAATTCCAAGGGAACCAGTCCCTGGAACCTTGGTCCCCGGGACCGCATTTTCGATCCACGTTTTGAAACAGTTTGTTGCCCAATGCTCGATCGTTTCTCTAGCAGCCACGAACGAAATCAGGCATCGAGTGAAGCTTTGAGCAACGTTGTTTTCAACGCAATGAGTTTGTCCTCGTGGCTCGTGATTGCCGAAATCAGCAGTGGCGTGTGGCTGTCAAAAAGAAGATCGTGTGTTTTGTCGTACGAACGAGGAAAAAAATCGTTGTTCAATAACCGATAATTCATTGCAGAATCGTTTGACCCAAATGTTTTCATCGCTTTAAGGAACTCGTGAGTCAGCGAAAGCGTTTCCACGAACCGAGCCGAAGCTGTGTATCGTTTAACAGCGGAAAGTCCGCGTGCACAGGGAAATACGGTGAGACAGTCGCCTTCCGTCGGCTCGATCGTTTTGCACGCGCGTTTTCTCGATCGATTCTCGGGAAACAGTTCTTGGCTTTACGCCGCGACTATATCCTGTTGCTTATGGTTTCTTCAAACTGCAAACCGGAAGAGCGTAATTTGACCGTGGCAAAAACTTGCGGTCTCTAAGCCTGCGAAAGTTACTTTTGACTCGATTCCCCCCGTCCGGGAGAATATAATATTTCAATGTCCAGTATAAGATAATGAAAGTAATTAAAAAGCAACATGAGATGAAATAAACTGGAGGAAAAGTGAGATTCCATCTTTCAGCAGAACTTTTCCAACGAGGGGTATTCCGGCCACTTATTTATGCATGTAAGAAGCGTGTAATGGAGGAAATGTTACTGCAAGCTTGGTAATTACTGAAATTCTAATTGCACGGCTCTAACAACTTCGGTATAAAGTCGCCGTGGGTCATTTATTTCTAGTTGATAAATACTACGTGCGAATTGATTAAGTCAGAAAAATGTTAATTTTATCAGTGGTCCACAGAAATAATTACCACTGATCGCAAGTGCCCGATACAAATTTCGAAAGTGTCAATGTGACGTTCGATTCAAGTGACTGATTCCATGCCGATGACAAGGCATCAATTGACGACTGACTGCCAGTAGAGTAGCCTTGACGCAAAGTTCGCCAAGTACGAAAACAACTCTAGTCCCTTCTTCCATATAGGCTAAGTATTGTAACAGGAAGTTTGTTGCCAGACTAAAATCGTTTGCTAAAATAGAAATGCACATTTTTAATGAGGATTAAGACGATCTAATTGAAATACTTTTGTCCGAAATCGTCGAAAAAAATTTCAATAGACTTCCTGTTCTACGCCTTTGAGACACAGAATCGCGTTTCTCTGAAGGCACTTTATCAGGACAATTAAATTTCATCGTTTAACCGATACAGACACATTTTTTCGGTCGACTTGAAAAAAGATAGGCAGTCAAGAAGGAAGTCAACAAACTGAGAATGCAGAAGGAAATGCAAGTCTGATGTATACAGAATTGATGAAAACAAAGTGAAGTGAATGAATAATTAATTTGATAGGAACGATAGCGCGATTGAAAAGATTCCATTATTATTGACCGATTCCGGTCGTTGTCGCCGGAAACAGTAAAAAGCCTTAATGCGGAATTTAACGAGCCCCGAACCTGCCTTTAATTAATTAAACCAGACGTGACGCCAGTGGAATTGAAGCTCGCGCCGTGGAAACCTCGTTGTTGCTGACTCTCATCAACGAGGACTATCCTGGTTCAGGCATTCGCTCGAATTTCGAGTCTAAGTTACTAGTAGATAGCGAAAATATTGGATATTCAGTAAAATCAGATTTTGTCACATAGATTTTGCTTCTTACTATAGCAAACTTCTTAAATTCGTGTTGATAAACGAACTTCAGTTTAAAACAGGAAGTACTTCATTGCTTAACATGTATCAATGATACTTTTAGTACACAGACTGTTACCTACGATGTATTTTTTTCAACGTTTTCATAGACAAGGGGAATGTACAATAATGAATGAAAACAGGTGTTTGTCGCACGTCATCAATGTCTTAAGGATGTACAGGCTATGTACTTAAACAATGCTAATACGTTGAATTTGTTATTATAGATTCATATTACTATTAAAAAACTACCTGCAAATTTTTATATCAATTCATGGGTTTTTTGAAAAATTATAGTGGTCGACGGTGGAACGGTCGGACTTTCTCAAGACCTATAAAATGCCGATTAATCATACTTAACTCGTTAAGTATCGAAGTTAGAAGGCCAACAACTTGTATTTGAAGCATTTTTGAGAAAAAAAATGCGTTTTTCTAAAGTACATAAACTTTTGAGATTGACTGTATAGCCAATACATCCTTAATGCAACCTTGCGTTCTTTGCGACCTGTAATACTACTTTTGATAGAATCAGTTCCTGATTCCGAAATAAATCATTATCTACCAAGTACATCTAACGATGAGCATCTAAATTACTGATTAATTATCGTCAAGGATTTTCCGTAACGCATAACTGACATATGAACAATAAACAATTCGAATCATAATAACCAGATTTTCAGTTGCTCTCAAAAAGAATGTTGCGATCAGCTTCGGTATTAACAATCCTTTCGAAATTATTTCTTTGCAAAAAAGAAAAACGGGAACAACGGAACTTTCGAACAAGTCGCAAAAAAAATTGCGAAAATAAGAGTGGAGAAAAGATTCGTTAATCGAGTTCGAGTCGAGGTAGTTGTACGACGCCGTGAAAGCGACGCCGACGAGTCGCCTCTTTCACTGGCATCGTTGCCAGCGCGACGACCGCTCGAAAATCGACCACTGATGTCAGCAAAAGACCTAAAAATCTGGGCAAAATACACATTGTCGCGTGTTTCCCACGTACATCGAATCTTTTTAAGCAATTTCTGATCACACCGCGTCATAAATAATATTCCAACAGACATCGGTACACGGTCGTAACGGCAACGTCGAGAGTTCCTCGATGAGGTGGCACAAAATTCCCATGAAAACTTCGCGGGTCAATATCATCGCAATGAAAAAACTGCATGAAGCGTTTATCAACGAGAGTAATAAAAGAAGATATTGGAAAATCGTGTGTGATTGATCGATGAAAAAAAAAGCAGAGCGAGTTAATCGAATCACCACGTGACAAACGCCAGTCCTTTCTCGCGAGACAGTTTAAGGATAAGCTCCGAGGCTTTCGGAGCGAATTCCCGTGATCGTCGCCGATCGTGGCAATAAGAGAGAGTAAATATATTATCTGGGAATCTAAGCGCTGAGAGGCTCATGAGGGGGCCATACGGGTAGAGACACGGTACATGCGGTAAGTGGTGGGCAACTGGCGCGCCGCGGGTTCATTGTCCCGTGTGTGCCCGTGGTGGAAGCCCCTCGTTGAAAAGGAGGGCCCTGGTATGTATCGGGCGTAATACGTTGACGAAATATATATGTGCAACGACGCGTATAACAGGTACTCACCAGTTGTCCAACTTGATCAGCTCTTCGGGTTTTTTCGTCTTCCGATCGGCCTTCAGTCTGAGCGCCTGCGGATAAAGCTTCAGTACGTGTTCGAACTGACTTGCTGTGCCCTCCGCGAAGAAAGTCGCTGTGTCTTTCACGGAAGCCATTGTGATAACTGAGCTTCGACCAACGGCCGTCAGGGCGCGACACGGGCGCCTCGGTGCACTATACACGTCCTCGTCGCTCCCCGTAAAGTCTCTATCCTTCTTCTCCTTGGACTCTTTCTCCTCTGTCCACGTCCAAGCAGTGCGTCTCGCTCCTCTTTACTTTATTCTCCCTCTCTCACTCCGATCCGTGCGCGCACCCCTCTCCGCGCGCGCGCCTCGGGAGAGGACCGACCACGCGAGAAATCCTATTTTACCCTCTGACTCGTTCGAATTCTCTCGGTTTCACCGGCGGCGGTGATACGCGACACACGCGTGGGACGCGTTCGTCGATCAGCGGTACACACGGAGTCAATCGGAGAGAGAATTATCGACGACAGCACGCGGTGGTAAACGCGAACAGTTCACTACCAGTGTTCTCGTTCTCTCTCGCTCTTTCCGTCTCTGGTTCTCTCCCTCTGGCTGGTGTGTTCCTCAATTTCCACGAAAGATATTTCTTCACGTTTTCCCAGGACGCAACGTTTTCCCACGCTCGATATTACAGCTGATATTGGTTGTACGCACGAAAGAGACGTGTTTACGCGGTATGGTGATGTGATGCAGAGCTACGGAGGTCTCGTGCGTACACTCTCGTAAGGGAAAATCACCGTAGTTACACGCCGAGAACTCGCCTTCGGACCTCGTTCGACTGTCCCGGGTGGGGAGCGCGACTCGATCGTCGCCAATAGGGAGCAGCACTGCTCGGCGTGTTTCTGACTTTTCTCTTTTCCCCTTGAGTTCTCTCTCTCGCTCTCTCGTTACGTCCTTCCACCACTGTCCACGCACACAAACAAACTACCCTTGTTATTTGTACCGAAAATTTTAACCGTTGCGTGCGGGCAGCCACACGCGAGGATCAACGATACGAGACGATCGGGGAAACTATACAGCCGATTTGTTTACAGGAATGATGTAGCGAACCGATTGCTGCGAAAAGGAGAACATGCAAAATATACGTGAGACTGTCGGAACAGAGCAGTCTCCTTTCTCCTCTAAAGTCTCGTTGACGAGCTCTCGAGAGCAGTCGTGTTTCCCTCGGCGCCAGAGCCTTCCTTCTTTTTTCCCTCGCTCGCTCAGAGAGCTTGGTACGAATGCATGCGGATTCCCCGCCGGATGTCCGCGAAGTATGGGACTGCCTCTCCCCCACCTCTTTACCAGACTCGTACACGCACGTATGCACCGATCTACGAAGGACCTCTGCCTCTCTCTCTCTCTCTCTCGCGCCCGCTCCGTCTGTCTGTCTCTCCCTCTTTCTCTCCGAGAATACACACGACGATGGTTCTCGCGTACTTCGATCGCTCGCCGCGAGACTATACACGCGCGTTCCGCAAAAGGGTACGTACCCCCGTTTTCGCTCTATTTACTCACGATCGTCTCTGATCCACTCGTTCGTTAAAGTCAGGATTCGCCGCACCGACTGTTTCCATGTAACCGTTCGTATACCTCTGCGTCGGGCAGGAAAACTTCACGCTGAAGCGTCGATGATATCTCGTTGACGGTCTCATCGACGGCGACGATGACGTTGATGACGAGGATCGAACAAGAAACCGAGACCAACCAACTGTCCTTTTCTTTATTTTTCTCCCTCGCGAGAAAAGGCCTCGGTTTTAGCTCTATCGCACGTCCGCCTCCGTACGAATCACCACGTTCGATGGCTGTGTACGCGCGCCTGTCTCTGCACGGACTCCTCGAACACTTCGTGTCTCTGCCTCTCTGTTCGGATGAGCGCGTGTAAGTGCGCGCGCGCACTCACTCACTCATGTCAGCAGCGGGCGAGCGAGCAAGCGAAAGAGCGGGCAGAACGAAGCTCGAAGCCTTCACTCCGAAAAACGGGAACACACCGAGTATAGTGCGCGCTTAGGCGAAGACCACGTATAGAGTCCAATCGCTCGCTCTCTCTGTGTATGCTGACTGTAGTGAAACGGCGGGCCGGCTGAGGGCAGCGCCTTCGCTCGCTGTCCCCTTTTCCTCTACGCCCCTTGGGACTCTATGCTACCGCCAAACCGTTCGACCCTATATCCCCTCTACGGCAAGATCCGCTCCCACTCGCTCATTCTGTCTCTCCCATTCTCTTTATCTTTCAAATTCTCTTTGTTCCCCATTTATTCCTGATCTAACTTTCCTAACACCTAAAACGTAGCCCTGAAACAATATAAAATCGTATTTCATCGTTTGCAGGCTGTTGCAACGTTGAAGTTCGTTTGTAGCTTCGACGACCAACCATATTATTCCTCGCGCGATCCCTGTTCGTGGACTCCCACGAGCGGCGGACGCGCTCGGCTCGATACCTCCTCGTGAAGGCGCGTACCGTTCGCTCGATCGCGCTGGGTCGTCCGACTGGAAATCGATGCTAAAGCTGGGGTAGAGGTAGAGGCGCGCCACTGGTGCCGCGTACCACGGCTGGCACACACCGCTTGCGCTCTAACACATCCTGCTGGATCATCGTGTACGTTGCTGTATGTATACGACACACGCCACACCGCGCACCGGCCGCACCGCTGCTCCTATACCAATCGTAAGCGTGGTCAAAGTGTGTGAGTAGAGACGGGCTTTTCGTGTATACACGGAACAGAAGCCTGTGTGCGACGCCGTCACGGTCTACGAGTATATGTAGGTACGTGCGCGAGCAGAAGTGGCTCGAATACGCACAAAAGGACATATGCGGAGAGAAGACTCGCAACCCTTGCGTGACACGAACATTTTGAAAAAGTGTCTGCGTGCTTTGAACATTCCCGAAAGCATAACGGATTGGACGGCCGCGTAGTAGAGGGAGATACGCGTTTTTCATTTAGGATATCTATACTAGTCGAGGAAGATCACAAGACGGATGCCGGAGCCGTTGCGAAATGAACGATTTCATAATTTTGTAAATGCGACGGCATGCGCTGTGTGTACTTACTTCCGCGCTTACGAGCTTAAACGATATTCCGCAAATACGCTAACTCGAAAGCTGATGAACGTACAAGACTATGTTTTTATGTATTTAATTTTTTTTTGTCTCTTATAGATACTGAGATTTTGAAAATCCTCACAGCGCTATCAAAATTTGTTAATAAAATGATGCAAAATGAAATATCGATTATCTTTCCTTTTCCTCTTTGTCCTCGCGATCCGTTAGCTTTGCATTCCTCTACTACTTTCATGCTTGTGTCCGTGACCGTGGTACGAAATTGCAAACAACAGGGAAACTTATGACTGTTTTCTTCGAAACTTCTGCTACACGTGTGTTCATGCATCGCGCAGGGGTTCCTTTCGATTATGTTGCACATATGGATGTACGTAGGAGAGCGGACGTTCTCTGTATAATCTAACGTCTACGTTATACACAGCTTACGCTGCGCTACACGATAGTGTACGTTGCCGTGTAATCATTGGTGGTCCGGTGGTATTCGAATGATATCGTTGTATTCGTGCATATCGTGTATCGTGAGATCTCGCTTCACCGACCAACCCATGAATACGCCTCGCTCACTACCAATGTCAGCAACACTACCACCGACGCGCGTCGTAGCTGGTATACAGTCAGCCGATTGTATTGGTGGAAAGTCCCGAGCGCTTGCGCTTCAGTAACTTTCCATTGTCGTTGCTTTTGCACAGCAAAAACGGAGAAACTTACCGGGAATTTTTCGAAACTTTAAACATCGCGAACTGCCATCCTAGCGTTAACGAGTCAGCGAAAATTATGAAAACTAGAAATATATTTCTAATTTAATGGGATGTCCTCTTCTTGGAATTTTAATCCTCGTCCGTCGTTCGTTCTCATAACTTGAGCATCAAGTTCTGAAAGCACAAAATATTCTGTATATATTGTCTTCAAAATTAGTCCTTTCTAATATAGACTTAAAAATATCGTTCCATCTATTTTGTTTTCCAAGGATTATAAACTACGATCACCTTCTCAATTTCTTTAGAAAGTCTATGATTTACAGAGGACCGTATAATAAAACTTAGAAGAATCCGAACCTTCCTGTAAAATTTTGGAAAGGTCAGCAACGACCCAGCAATATAAAACTTCACCGTCCGCCGTGCGCGCTCTATGATGCAGGTAGTCGAATTAACGGGGTTGTACGAAACTAATTCTTCCGACAGTACTTTTAAAATATATTTAAAAGGTGTCCTTATTGTATTCCATACAAATTTTTAATGTAAGCATTTAATTTCTGTAATTAGATGGAGACTGTTTTAAATAGTGCATCTAGCAAGTTAAATGAAAAGCCGATGGTCGGAGAGTTTCAATCACTCGCCCGCAAATTTGCTGTTTATCTGATTTTAAGTATCCTTGGGGAGAGGGGAATCGTAATTAATACGCGGGGGAATATTCGGTGGTGAGAAACGACCGATTACGTTCGGACTCAACCCCGTAGGGCTGGGTACGAGTCGCGGGTAAGGTTACTGAAAAGGGGGGTAGACGGGCCAAAGAGGAAGACGAAGAGAAAGGCCGGTTTTCTTGTGAAGCGCGTTTCAGGCAGGCAAGGCAAGGTAGCCCAGCCGGCCATAAGCCCCGCATGATGGCCGGCGTCGACTCACCGTTATGTGCCGAGCATCGGCGAAGCCCTCGTGCCCCCTATACAAAAGAGAGAGGCCTGATCCCCTCTGTCCCTCGGGCGCTTGAAATTCAACCCCGGCACTGCCAACCGGTACAGGGTTGCCGGATCGTGTTGCTACGAGACAGCGAGGTTGCAGTGCGGCCGTTATCGAGCTCACCGCACACCCGGACAATCATCTAACCTCAAATTCAGCCGTGCATCGAGCGCGACTCCGGTTTTGTTATCAGCAGCTCCGAACCGCAGGACAGTCCTCTGCAAATTAAATGAGCGGTTTTTAAGCGCGGCCACATTATCGCGAATACTGCTAAATGCATTTTTAATTTTGCTGAGTTGCTCTTCACTCAAGGAATAAAATCCATATTTTTTTATATCATTTTTACGTAATATTCTAATTTTTGAAGATATAAAAATAATTTTATAATGCGTGGAAGACATAGTTCTTCTAGACTCAGAACTTCGTATATATTGTCTTCGCATTCATTCGATAAATCATTCGCCTCTGTTAGTTGCTGTTAAAGAGCGACCTGTAACCCGCTAATTATTTGTCGTCAGCAACAGGTGATACTCTCTTTCGTACCTACGTTTTACTCGGAAGTTAGTGCGCGCCTCATAGAATAGTAATAGCAAACATATATGTATAGCGTATTCTACTTATTTACTTCTCTGCTATATATATATATGTACCACAATAAAATAGAATTTTTCATTTTGCCTAATTTCTGTTATCCATTTGAATCGACGTATTCCTGTTAAATGAAAATTATATGTAAATAAACTTCTACCAAATAATCATTTCCATTGAGATACTCAAAGGGTATGTTACAGACATCTTTTAGATATCGTATCTTGTACACAAAAATTGCAAGGTCTAGCAGGAAATTTCTAACAATCATAGTTAAACGTAAGTGCGCGTCACTCAGTTTCCTGCGAGACATGCAAGAGCCGAGAAGCCGTTCCGAGAAGCCGTTTAAAATAGGAACACCGACAAATCTTTATCTAACGATCGAGACTTACGAAGATCGCAACTGACAGCGACAAAGCGATTTAAGTAAACAGGAGAATAAAATAAAATCGGACGGTAGACAGCCGCGACAAAAGGCAGCGCGTATCGTAGCTTGAAATACGGCTCGCATACGAGCGATTATTGCCGCGTTCGATACGAAACACGTGCTCCCGATGCGGTTGCTCGCTGCTCTACACGATATTGTTGCGAAGTGACATGTGTGCCACCGCGCAATAGAACGCGAAGCATAGCATAAGGACTGGCAGCGGCAGCCGAGCGACGGGCACGGACGGAGCTCCGCTTCATCGGGGGCCAATCCGAGCGCTGTGACCTTGAATAACTCTAGAGAGAGAGATATATTTAGCTGTGAGCGGCTCGAACTGCTGGTATATACTGCCGCTGGCCGCTACCTAACTCTCCCCTGCGCTCTGAAGTCTCTCTTTTACAGTAGAGGCTCGCAGCGACGGATAATAACGAGGGAACCCCGACCAGGGAAACTCAGAACAATCTGTCCCTTTCGCCCCCTTCGTTTTGATCTCGTAGTTATGTCAGAACCCAGGTAGTATCATAGATTCATTGTCTTCACATTACAACGATATAGAATCTTATTATTCCAAGAATTTTCATTCTTCGCTTGATCGTTGTGTCAATATTTCATTACGGTTTTGAAAAATCACAATCATGATCTTTTGTGTACGTGAAATTTAAAGCAATTTGTAGTTTCTACACGATCTGCAGAATACTTTTATTACAGAACTATCTGTTGGCACGTATGTTGCGCGTGAGTAATTTGAAGAAGGGCGATGAAAGTAGGTCCCTTGCGACCATTCTCGGAAGATTACAATAACGTTAGTCACTTCTATGGGAAATTATTCTTCGATACTACTGCATCCTTGACTGAAAAAAATATGATAATCCATTTGTCATTCATAGTCTCACTTTAAAAAAAGTTTGGAATTAATTTTCGAAAATACGAATTTCAGCCGATATCTTCCTATTTCCAAGGACTATGTGACTGTATTGCTTCTTTTTTTATTTTTCTATAGCGTATCATGAACGACTAGGTGATGATGATGATGATGATGAGTTCGAAACCAGTTCTCCTTGGCCGTATCGTTGAGAGCTGAGAGCTTCACGTTCAGTGTTCGGTGTTACTCGCCCCAATTTTCGTGAACCTCCGAAGCGTTACGAGACAATTGGGTGTTCCCAAATTACAGTGAGCTCTACTTCCGCCGGCTATCTTCATTATTCATCAACGAAACTCTTCCGCCTTTTGAAAGCCACTTTGCGTGGAAAAGAATGATATATTTACATGTAAAGGAACGGACAATCTTAAAGGATTTCTTTGTATTTTGTACAAAATTAAAGTTGAAGCACAAAACGCAAAACACGTGGTTATACAAGAATGTATAATCAGAAATAAAATAATTTGTTAATCCGTAAGTGATACATTTAAATTTTCATGCCACGCAGTAGTCAGATAGCAGAGCGCAAGGAATCGTGGCCACTTTCGGAGGCACGTACCTTTTGATCCCAATTCAAATACCCGTCCGTGACATTCGTAAATTCCGAACACGTGGAGCAACAAGTATATACGCGCAACTAGATCGATCCTTCCCTTTCTTCGAACGATCACGGAGCGGCGCGGCAATGCCACACTTTGGATTTCCGCGAGATCTATTTACACAGAGCCAATAGTTCGATGCAACAGGCGAGATTTCACTCTCTTACAAGAGAATACGATATACACAGAGAGGGAGAGCGAGAGAGTGGAAGGGCGAGTCCGAGTGCGAGCGAACAAGTTGGAAAAAGAAGCGAGACGGAGGAGAAACGAGAGTGATAGGAGAATGAAAAGTGAGAGAGAGCCAATGCCAACAGGAACAGTTTGCGTTTACCGAAACGAGACAGAGTACGTATACAACACGGAACGAGGGAGAGAGAGAGAAAATTCCGAGAGATCGAAAGAGAGACGAAGAAGCGACGGACAGAACCCGGTGAGAAACGGAGAAAGACGGACGGAGGGAACGCGAGCGAGAAAGGCTACAAGTCTGTGCGGTATTCCTTTCAGTGTGATTGTCATTCATGCATTGTGAATCAGGGACTTTATTTTTAGAAGCGTCTGAATGAAAGTGGAGTACCCCGTAGTAGTAGTATAATGTCAGCGGTAAGAGGAGAAGAGGTGGCGGAGGAGGACGGTAGTGTAGGCGAAGAGAAGCGGAGGAGGGAACCGGCGAACGAAGAGAAGGAGCGAAGAGGAACGACGAGAAGTACGCGACAGGGAGGCGAGGGGGGGTGGCGAGGAGAAAGAAAGACAGGTCATCGACGAGAAAGAGGGTGAGGGAGGGAACGAGGAAGACGTTCCACCGATCTGCGAGTAAATCGTACTACGTCCTCACACGTGCTCGCTCCCTCCTCCGTCGCCCTTTATCCCCCTTTTTCGACCGCCCGTCACCACCACCATCGCCACCCTCAGTCAACGACACAAACTGCGGGACACGCGAACGCAGAGGCACACGCACGTGCTTTGACTCGGACGCGGATGTCGTTTACCTATACCCCTATGAATCCTCACGGTGGAATCGAGAAGACACAGGGTGGCCAGAGCGAACGAAACAAATGCGGCTCGTTTCGAGGAGCGTAATGGACGTCCCACGCTATCACTACTTCTCGATTTAATTGTACGAACTTTTTGAACAAAAATATTAATATAAATTCGAGGCGGAGTACAGGGTTTATCAGCTCAAATGGGTAATCAGAAGAGACACCTCGGTACGCGTCATCAATCGCGGGAAGCTGATTGGACGATTCCGAAAACCGCAAGTAGATCGAGAAGATAAAGAGGCAGACACAGAGGAAATAACCCTCGAGGTCACGGCTGACAAAGGCGAGACAAGGAAAGATGGAGATTCTCTCTCGTGCACACATACCCATGCATACGGCGTGCGTAAGCAACGATCCAATAAATAGCAGGATCATTGACACCGTCCGCGTGGCTGGTCTTCAACGGCAGCCGGTTGTACTACGATGTTTACAGTTTAATTCGAGATACTCGAAATGTCACGTGCGCACGTTCGGGTACTATTCACGATAAACGTGTCTTTCGTTTCGGGGAGAGGGAGATAGGGGCGGGTCTTTACGGGGGAGGGAAGGGGTAGATGATTTGACAAATTACTTGCGAAATGAGTCACCGAGAGAGCTTGCCTCGCGTGTCTTCTCCTATTCTCTTCGGGTCGGTCTCTCTTTTCCTCTTGACGAGCACGCGAGTGCACTCAAGGTCCAGCTACGCTACGTTACCGTTATCTGAATTGGATTTATCAAACAGCCTTGACCCAGGACAAAACTTTTCTTATCGCGCTCGTAAACAGATATTGACATGCACTCGTCACGTATCCTGCACCACGCTCCGAATCGCGTAGCACCTATGCAATGCACACGCGAGAGGGGATTCCGTTCCTTGCTCCATTTCCTCGTTCCTTTCTCAGAGAATCCATAATGCTGAGAATCTCAAGATTTACATGCTCTACGTGGAACACATTTTTCTTCCAGTTTATGGAAGAAGAGAGAACTCTACGGTGACAGACTAAAACAGCAAGCTTTCAATTTCCGTTGCACAACATTTTATGTGTATGAAGTTTTAATAAACGTCTTCTAGTAAACGACTAAATTCTTTTTATCCTCGTTTTCAATCAAACTCTTTACTGGTAGCCTTTGAAAAAGATCACAAAGAGATAGAACTCGACTGATTTGTGAGTAACGAATAAATGAAATAGAGTTCATTATCGGCATTCATGTAGATAAAACTTTACATGAATGAACGTTCGCGTTTTTCTTTTCTCTATTACGTAATGTCGCTACTTACGTGAATGAGCACAGTGTTAATTGTCGAACTTCGTGCATTTTCACAGAATCATCAATTATACACCAAGTTCATCACTGAAGCGTTCGCGTAATAGTTATTAAATTTCGTTTATCTTTTGTCAGAGTTAATACCGATTCTCGTTATGACTCATTGCGTTACATAAAGGATTCTCCAACTAATTGTAAATCCTGAGCGTGGATTCATTTTTGAACGATAAAGATATAGCTGAAGACTGCACTGAAGTTTCTGGTTTAATTGTAAAATCGCAGAACCTATATAAACCCTGCATGAACGATGTCTAGGTCAGCTAAGAGACTTGTTCAGTAAGATAGCAAGAAGCATTTTGATCGGCGGGAGGTTGAAATCGAGATGAGCGCAAGATCAAATTGCGTCTCGTATTCCGGATTCTGATTTCTCAGCAACCAAGCGAGCGGGATCTCAAATAGAATCTCATTGGCCACGAGGCGAAATGTTATCTCTTGTGTACTAGCACGCATTTGGAAGGAGAAGTTGGGCTGTTGGTTGATGATAAGATAACGCGATCTCAATTGGCCAACTACTACACATCCACAGCGTACAGTTCAGACAGTTAAAAATATAGACTGACTCTCGATTTAAGGGTGTACAGACGTACATAATTTTAGCCACAGTATTAACTTTGCAAAAGAGATTTGATTGTGAAAAATAAATTCAATGTCTAATAAGGAAGGATAACGATTTTTTTGCTAAGTTCCAACATAGCATTTGCTCACGAGCTTATTGCGAAGAGGCAAAGAAACGACATTACGTATTTAGTTTCACATGAAAAAAGAATTATTCCTTTGAGAAGAAAATTAAAACCGAGAATCGACCGTCTCCCGCCAGCGGATTTTAAAAATCGGCACCGTCGACATCTCGGCGGCTTGTACGCGAAAGATAATGCGCTGATCACGAGCCGCCAATAACACTCGTCAGCGATAAGTCGATGTTGTGCAACCATAAAGTTCCGTGCATCATGAAAACAAATCGCTGACGTTTGACACTGAACTCCTTCAACGTTCTGCACGTCGAACATGTTCCCCTTTCTGTTTGGCCTGAGTGCCCCGAAATAAAATTAACTTGTGCATGACAAACTCGGGCATGAGGAATTTTCAAAAGAATAAACAAAGATAAATTGAACAAAGGAAACGCATGCAGTCACTCGAGATGATGAATTAATCAGAGTATTTTTGTCGATTAAATAGTTAATAAGCTGTGTAAATGATGTCAGTTTTACTCAACAAAGAAGATTGGTACTGTTTAGTAGTTCAATTGGTCCCGTGTTTTGCTTTGTGTACAAATTTTAAACTTCGGTGCATTCAAACGTTCTACGATCTTATTGTTAGATCCATCGAATTCCACCTTGATCACTATCATATTTTCCGTCGATTACAAAAATCAATTTCGCAGGTTCACTCTTCTCTTATCTACCCGACCTCTCTGAGTAGAAGTCAACTATATTATCTCGCTGTTTCGCTGCAGCATCGAACGCGACCGGGGTATTAACTAGCTTTCGCATCGATAACTCAGCGCGACACGTACATTAAAAACTAACAAAAAAGACTACAACAAAAGCATTATATTGTAAATTGTATACGACCTTTTTTGCAGGTAATAACATTATCTACAATTTTTACTTGAAGCATTTTTTTAAATTGAAAAGAAAAATTTTTTATTTTCTCAAAGAAGTTTCCAAGGGATACCTCTTTAGATTCTTCGAAATCTTCGTTTATTGCAAATAATTGCTTACTTGTTGCTGCTAACGACAAATGCTGCAAACGGAAGTTGTAACTCTAGTTGTAAGCTATGAATAAGATCCTGTGCAATTTTCCAAAAAGATATCAAATTGTCTACCGATCGTCATTATTCTATAATATCATAATCTATTGTTAATATGCAATGACATGTAGGACGATGGATCCGATATGCTATTGCGATCGTGAACGTTTCGTCACTCTACGTATTCTCTTGTCGAACCGTACGAACGCAACTTTGAACCACTACGTTTCAAAGGTACGTATCGTGGAATACGTACCGAGATCAGACTATGGATTATAACCTCGCTCTCTCTACAAGGATGCCATGCTCCGCGGTTTGCGCTAATGAACCAGCGAGCCTTTATGGTGGTTTTATTCTCTTACGTCACCGAATTCATCGGCGCGGCCTCTACCGCAGTCGAGCTCAGCGTTAAAAATTCAGCGCGCCGCGGTTCTTACTACTTACCTAGCCACGTATATCCTCCGATACTTTTTTCGACAGGACTCCTTTTTTATGAAATAAAGGCTGAACGAATATTGTACGTTTTTCTTATTTGTTGGAGAATCCGAAAGTAAAGTAGGAAAACTCTAGTCCCAGTTCAAAGAGAATTATATAAAGTTCTCTGCGGTCCTTGGTATCCTTCTTGCACCTGCCGGATCCGCTCAGGCCCCGCAGGTGCTTAGGAAAGTACAGGACGCGATCACTCACACTCTTGCGATCGCAAAAACCGCCTGCTTCTCTACCTTTGAATATATGCACATACATATGTATCATCTCTTCTTATTACTTATACGTTTGCACACCTGCCGTCTTTAACTTCTCCCTTGGAGAATCTTCTTCTATCGACAAAATTTAAAACGTTCTGCCGGCTTGAAAATCGAGAGCGATTCAATATTTGAATTTCGACCTTGTTCTGCCCAGAACTGGCCACTCGCTATTACAAATTCTATGTATTCGTTTTATGCAATTCTCATCTCCCTGAGCCTACATTTTTACTTCGATTCTTTTTTAAGCAACGACTTGCGATTTGCGATTACGGAAAAATAACCCTATTTTGTTTCGTGATCAAAGTATAAAATAAGAGATACTTACTAATTCGTTGAAGATGAATTTCGTAGCGGGAGAATTAAGTTCGTAGTAGAAAACAGACATCGTCTTCGAGCAATCAGTTGAAATCCTGGAGACAGAAGAACACCTGTCACAAAACTCATAAGAACACGAGATTATTTATCTTTACGCGGGATCCACGATAGAAATTAGTGGATCCCAGCGATCGTTAATACTGGCGCGTACAGCACTCCACATTATCGGCAACGTTAACTGCTCAGATGGCAGCATGTACCGAATCTACTATTTTCGTATTTCATAAAAAGTTATGCATAATTTTTATGCATCTTTTTATGGTACAGCTGTTCACTTAAAACACCTTTGACTAATTAATTAAATTTCATTTGTAATTAATATCTGAACCTCAGTTAAATAGAAATAATAATATGAATTTTTACCTGCGTACGCCCATGACAAAAATACAACAGAGCATGCACATTTTTTAATAATCTTAAATGTATTTTACTCTTAGGAAACTAAATTGAGGTTTAATCCTCTAAAAAACATAAAGTAGATTTCTAACGTTGAAGAATCTAATAAGTAGGTTCTTCGACGACCTTTAACATTTCCTGTCGTTTTATATAACGATCGATATTTTCATTTGAAAATCGTGAACTCAACGAAACAGAATTTCCTATGAACGAAATATCGATAATTGATCATTTCCTAATGATGTCAGTGCTTGCTGAACGAGAAATACAAGATCGAACGTTCGTCTATAACGTTCAGCTGTGTTTGACGTGTGCGTCAGAGAATGACGTCAGCTATGATCTTGACGCAGATTTACAGTAACGTTTCCATTGGCTGTATTTGAATTAATCTCTCTCTATTTCGCTTTCTCGTCTCCTTTTCTTTCTGACGTGTACGAAGCGGTATTACAATTAAGCGTTTTCATCGTGTTTCTAGTTGAAAAGAAAGATTAATTAATTTGACTGAGTACGGTTTTGAAAACGAAGTGCTTGTTTGCGCCTTGCTCGAGCTTCGAGTTTCAATTTTAGATGTGAATCAAATATATAAATGTGTTAATTGAATGTATTGTAAATATTAAAATCTTGCTTAAATGATTTCTGTTCTTGAAATAAAACGTGTACGAGTGTCGAAATGTATAAATACGCATCGCGACCTTCTTCCTATTCTTGATCCTTCATTTAAAAGTGTAACTAAAAGGACGGGGCCTCCGATACAAAAATCACGATGAACATACAAATGTCGTATTACGTCTGGTTCGTGTTTGTAGGCGAACTATCAAGTATGTGACCGGGCTTCGTAAAACTGTTTCTAATTTCTTACGCATTCGAATGAAAACAAATTTAAATCATATTTCAATCTATATAATAATCAATTCATCTGAACAGTAAACATTAAGTTCCTATCTTTGGTTCAAGATTTGCTTTCATTTGTTCAATGTTCAGAAAAGAGTTTCCTTTTTAACTGCACGTGACTTTTTTTCGACCATGCCCAGCTTCGAATCCAACAATGTTGAACATGTGCAACATCATCGATATCTTCCCTCTCGTTTGTGTGGCAGCCGATCAAGAACGCTGAATCATTGGCTGTACGCTCAAACACCTCGTAGAAAATTCTTCGTAACGTGTTTGTTCCGGTTCTCATCGCCGAAGAAGGCTGTCCGTCGAGATGTCGCTGGTCGGAGAGCACGTTCACCTCGTCGACGAGGATGCGAATTGAACCATTATAAATTTAGAACCGCCTTCTTTCTTCGTTTCGTAATCAGTTATAAGAGGAAACGTTTCTCCCAATCCCGACGGATGTTTTTCCTCCTAGCATTCCTAGTCACCGCGTATTTCTCGCAGAGGCTTTCTAGATGATACTTCGTATGCTTTCCAAATTGCAATACGAGTGATCATGGTCTTACATTATATTGATCCGAAGAACGGACCGCCGATTCTTCTGAATCTCTCGTAGAACTTACGACGACTTGCAATTACGAATTATTCGTAGGTAAAAAATTAGAGTCGTTTTGATCGCTCAGCCGAAATCGAATGACTGGACTTCCAGAGACCTGGACGATGAGGCTGAAAACCTTGGGGCTCAGGGCCATTGTCGGGTGGGGCCTTTACCTCTCCTCCCTTTCCCTTTGATAGCCACGGGAGCCTTTCATCTCTAGCAACATGTCGGAGAGGAGAACTTCTGTGTGCGCGAGAGCCCGTGTCTTCAACAATGTTGAAGGGGTTACTACGACGATCACCGAGATGAGACTGCGGTGGCGACGTCATCTCCAGACAAGATCCGAAATTGCATTTTCAACGAGGGTTCTCCACTCGTACGACAAACGCAACCCTTCCCGTCTTCATCTTTTCCATATATTGGGTTGCCTGACGATCGTCTCATCTTTCCGTTTTAACGGGATTTTTGATACTTAAAAATTTTACATTTCGTGAGACCCATCACGCATTTAATAATGAACAATTAAGGTCGATGCAACAGGTAACTATACGATAATGAAGCCATTAGCATTCGATGACAATATTCCATGCACAGTTAAGGATGTATTGGCTATCAGTTAATCCCAAATGTTTATGTACCTTAGAAAAACGCATTTCCTATAATTAAAAAGAAATCAGACGTCGGAAGAATAATGCTAATAATAAATAGCTACGTGCTAAAAAGTATAGAAGGAAGTATCCAATTAAGTATTGACGCTGACTAAAATTTTTTTTTTTTCAAAATTGCGAAAAATGCTTCAAATAAAAGTTGTTTTCCTTCTAACTTCGATATTTAACGAGTTACGTATGATTATTTGGCATTTTATTGATGTTGACGAAATCCGACCATTCCAGCGTCGAAACGGCGAACTTTTGGCAAAAAATTTCGTTTTTCCTCAATAACTCCTAAACCGTTCGACTTACGAGAAAATTGTACAGGACCTTTCTTGTAGAGGAGGATGAGATCTACAATTTCTGTATAAAATTTTTTCGCTAGCATTAACATTTATCGAGTTATTGACGAAAAACGAAAAAACAGTTTTTTGCAAATTACTCGTTAACCATCGACGCTAGCGAAAAGTTTTTATACAGAAATTGTAGATCTCGTCGTCCTCTACAAAAAAGGTTCTATACGATTTTCCTGTACGTCCAACGGTTTAGGAGTTATTAGCAAAAAACGAAAATTTGGAAGAAATTGAAGGGGTACCCCTTGGAAAAATCTCGGAAAAATTGAAAATTTTTTTTTGTTGTTTATTATTAGCAATGTTCTTCCGACGTCTGATTTCTTTTTAAAAAATATGTTTCTAAAGTGCATAAACTTTTGGGATTGACTGTATTGCCAATACATCCTTAATGCGATTGTTCCCTGTTAATGACCGTCCCGCTTAGGTAATAGTGTCAGTATTCGTAAGACTGTAATAATATAACATGGTTATGATAATGGAAACGACGCGGTGCTGAAAGCGTATGTATGCAAAGTCGTGGGAAACCTTAATAAAGGCTGAATTTCGTTTAAATTCGATTAATCAGATTTTAATGCGTGTCATTCATATTTCCCACTCCTGAAACCTTTTGTATGCGGTGTATCCTCTTACACAGGCCTTGATTTACCGGAGTCCTTATATCACGATTGTTACGTACGATTCACACGCGACTATCAATGATAAGGTATTTTAATTTCTGGATTTCTGTGAAATTTTCATGACTACGGCAAGCTATATGGGACATAATTAGCCAGATCACGCTTCCTGATTATTCGATGTGCGAAGGTTCACCTCTCGAACTTCCCTACGTACGTATTTCAGTTTGCGAGAGAATAGCGTTTGTCAAAGTAGCGGGTAACACGAAATCAAGTTTGTTATTGAGAACGAAAGCTAGGATTGGCTTGATTAAATGGCGTGCGAATGTCTTAGAAACTTTCATTGAATGTGGGCGGAAACGTGCATTTGCGATGCCCGTAAATCTTGGAACAGGAAGCGAACGCGCGTTTATTCATGAATCCGCTTTGCTGTCTTCCCATAAAAAATTCTGACCACGCAGCCGCGAGCTCGTTTCGTTCCGAGATTCGACTGAATAAATATTAATTTTTCACCGGACTTTTATCATCCCCGCGAACGAACGCGAACATCTCCCCTTTGTAGCCACGATTCTTTTCTATTGTCTAACGCGAGATCGCTTTAAATTGCAAAGAGCTTATAAAGGACATTGAACGGGACGATATTAGTTTTCATCTCGTCGTTTCATTCGTTTCAACGTTCTACAAAAAGTTCTTCAAACTTTTCCTAAATTAACTATGAAATACTGTACAGCCATCGGTAGTAACTCTCATTTTCAAAAAATGATTTCAATCGTCAAGTAAAGGAAATCATCGCTGATAACCTTTGACGCGTAACTTACACTTTGTACGTTTAATTGGTAGACCGTTTGCAAAATGGTACAATCCGGCCTCGCTTTCATCGTTGCACTCGCACAAAGGTAATTCAATTTCCGCGCTAACGCGCACCGACCGGCTGTTGTAGCGTGCCGTTTCTTTTCTAAAAACATCGACCGCTGCTAAACAACTAACAAGCAATAACCCAAATAAACAATGCATACATATATTCGCATGACGTTGACGGGGATTACATAAGAGTCCGGAGTACAGTTCGCGTGACGAGCCGCTGTTAAAGCGATGACAACGATTTGCAGGAATTTTCGACCCGGCTAATGCTGACCGAGATTGTTTTCAGAATGAAAACCCTCTGTACTTGACCGAGTTTCATTTACGAATCGACTTTTCTTAACTTTAAATGGAAAGAGCTTCAAAATTCTTAACAAAACTAGTTTTCGTTCTCGAAATTCTTATAAAGGAGGAAGAAATGAAAATTTGCATGAACACTTCTTCATTCGCGTTAATCAAACGATATGATGGCTATACATGAGGATTGTTAATTTAAACCTTCTCGCATTAATCATTTCTACTCTAATAAACGAATCGAATTGATGACTGATTACCATCGTTGCTACCCTTTTCTTTTTGCTTACAAACTAACGTTGTATAAGATTAGCAATACGACTCAGACTATCTGAGAATGATTCGTCGCTTGAACAAGATTAACAGCGAAGCAAAATGTAATTTTTAATACACGAAAATGACAATTGATAATGAGATTATGCTTACTATTTTATATATACGCGTACTATTTTCTACAGGCCAATAATAGTACGATAACAGTAAAGAAATGTTTGACGCTGACTACTGATTGATCTTGGCTGCTTTCACTGTCCGATTGTTTATAATTCACGTGAACGTTCGACAATACGATCACGCTGCAAAATGTTTATTCACTGCATGACCAACGGTCTATTTCTAACCAACACTACTTTACATGCGCACGTTTGAGCTTTTTCGACGAATGTATAAATTCCTGAAGTTTTTACACGGATATTTCGACAACACGAGATCGATTTCTAATTCTTTCCATTGCTGGAGTCGTACCTCAATATTCTTGACTATCAGCGTAGAAGAGTGTTGCTCAGATTGCTCTGTGATACCAACGTCGGACAATAGGTACAGTAATTGTGCGAAGAGCATGGGGATTCATTTAGTAATTACCGAACGGTCGATGTTCATTACTCAATCGCAATTTACTCTACGAAGCAGGAAATGACGGAAAATGGAAAATGCGCAATACCTTATTAGACCTGGCTTCCTCGTTTTTCGTTCCTCCGGCATGATACGCGGAAATTCGTGGTAGCTCGTAGAAATTTCGGGCAATACTGAACTACTTCGTACGATCTGTTGACGAGTTGTCAAATCGATTTATCGAATTCCATTTTTCTTTAAAATATAATCGATATATTCAAGCGATAAGAGAGCATGTGTGTGCGGCCGATAAATGTATATCCAATTTAGTTTGAATTGAGAAAAATAGGAATAAGCGAGAAGGGGACAAGTTCTTAAAAGAAGTTAAAAAAATGATATAATGAATTACGAACGCGTTTGCAAAGTGGGTATACATCCTGGCGATCTCGTAAAGAATAGAATGGTGGTGGAGCAGCCGACGAAGTATTCGTGTAGCACGCATGCGTGCGCCTGCGCCACGGAAAAGTAGTACGCTGTAAGTTTTCATTTCACAGAATCGTTGACTCGCAGTTCTCGTTTATGTCATACAAAATTTCGCGACGATTGTGCACAGACGGCTCGATACGCGTCCAGGAACCGATAAATTAATTCGAGGATCAGCATACAGACGAATCAGAGACCTACGCGTTTCTTATTTTGTCCCGACTGAATTTCGGACGTCAGGGTGCGCAGAGGCCTGTGCGCATCGTTGGACCGAAACACAGTGAGCGGATCAGTGGGAGAGTCGAGAGTGTAATGTCTGATAAGACGAGCGATGGACAGCCGTGAGAGTGCATGATCGTATTTTCAATTTTGACAGATACACGGCGATCTGACTGAAAACGCGCGTACAGTATCGGCTAGTAACACTGTGAACGCGTTCGAATATGTACAGTTCGACGTACCATTAATCGAAGTGGCCCGACCGAGGGGACTGATTCACAAAATCGCACGAACAGAAAAAAAGTACAAGTGGTCGGTGGTGTGTACGGACGTGTGTGCGCGCGTTGTATCGTGAACACTACGTGTTCGGTGTACTATAGAGTGAGACTGGCGTAACAGCGAGGGAATCTCGCCTTCGTCAAAAGGAATCGAGAGTCGACCGCATATCTGTTTTGAACTTTTTTCTGCTGGCGAACAAAGGCTGATTTCGGTGCTGCCTTTGGAGGAGGCTAGATATAGAGTATTGCCTCTCCTTTTCCCTCTCTTTCGTTCTTGCCCCCGAGGGACGAGGAAGAAGAATGGAGGCGATAGCAAAGCACGATTTTACGGCGACCGCCGAGGATGAGCTTAGCTTTCGTAGAAGCCAAATCCTTAAGGTTTGTATGCTGTCCCGAATGATACGACGATTATTTTTCGTTTTTCAATGTACAGATGGACAGCATTCTCGCATCGGCGATTTTTCATTCGGAGAGAGCTTACTGATTCCGAACTGCTTTCGTTGCGAACGGATATCGCGTGTCGCTTTAAAGGATGCGCATTTGTGACAATGCGAAGCGTTCTATAAACTACCGATTGTTTGTTTCTTAAAGACCCGTCGGTTCTATAGATCTGTCTTGTTTGCTGTGTTAGTCATCTCTTGCCAAACGATATTTAATATTATCTTTTTTCCTATGTATCTGTTTCGAAACACGGAAGGAATTTGATTATCCGATGTCACGTTAACGAGAACAAATTCTTTTCCTTTACTTGTTTATATAAACTACGCGACAAAAATTGGATTTCTGTCTTATAAAGATGGATTTATATTTCATTAATTGCTACCTATCGCCCAGCGTTCATAAAGAATGTAACTCGTAAATGTCAGTTGGATCATATGAAAGAGTTCTGTATAAGTGATAATCATAAGAAATTAAACATACACAGTTACTATAATCTTTTTGCAGATTCTAAACATGGAAGATGATATGAACTGGTACAGAGCTGAGTTAGATTCGAGGGAGGGTCTCATTCCGAGTAACTATATAGAAATGAAGAACCACGAGTAGGTGTTCTCTTTCGTTAAATATTCATGCACTTTCTTAAGATACGAGATACTCAAAATTAACGTGTGCTTTGTTCTGTGTAGTTGGTATTATGGGAGGATAACGAGAGCAGATGCTGAGAGATTGTTGATGAACAAACATGAAGGGGCCTTTCTGATCAGGATTAGTGAAAGTTCCCCTGGTGACTTTTCGTTATCGGTCAAGTTAGTACAAAATTCATAAATAGGAACGTTGAATCATAAGTAAAAATTCTTTGTATGAGCCCCGATCAATTATCTTCTTCCTTCTAGGTGTTCGGACGGTGTCCAACATTTCAAGGTACTGAGAGACGCTCAAGGTAAATTCTTCCTATGGGTGGTGAAATTTAACAGCCTTAACGAATTAGTGGAGTACCACCGCACGGCCTCAGTCTCTCGCTCTCAAGATGTAAAATTGAGGGACATGGTGCCAGAAGAGGTAATTATCTCTTACGTAACGGTTATTCGAACTGTTAAGTAACAAGTAATCGTTGATCCTATGACGCGAGATCGCTGTTCGTTTCAGTGTCTGGTACAGGCGTTATACGACTTCCAACCTCAAGAACCTGGCGAACTCGAGTTCAAACGGGGCGATGTAATCACTGTCACTGACCGCACGGACCAACACTGGTGGCACGGAGAAATTGGTAATAGACGAGGCCTATTTCCGTCTACATATGTCACTCCATATCACTCCTAGGTAAATATCGTTGGCACGATGGTTTTATATTCACTTTGTCATTAGTGTACTATCTTTAAGACTTGTTTGAACACCGTAATAACTGATTCCAGACCTCATGTTATGCACACAGAGGCCAAAGGCATCGGCCGCATTATCCCACCACTATTACGTACAGGATCAGACTTACTGCAGAACTAATCAACAACATTCTACAAATTTCACCCATCGAATGGGCTACCAGGATGTATTTATGGTCTAGACGCAGAGTTGTTTAAAAACAGATTTCAGAGCCTTGATGAAAAAGAATTACGTGATTAGTAATTTATATAAATAAACGTAGAGTTCTATGATAATAGCATGTGACATGGTAACGTGATCGTTTCGTTATCATTGGATACGAATATCTTTCACTGAGTTTGATATTAATGTTATGACGAATGTTGAGCAACTCTGGACATACATCGCGAACTTTATACGAGAAACGTTATATTCGATTCGTTTAGCGTTTGTGTCTGTAAGAGAGTAGATTGAAAGTAAATCTACTTAGAGTACTCCCTACATTTTTTGGTAGCTCATCGATGGATGTACGTTTAAAGGCATAACATTAACCATATACATCAGTCGCATTAAAGGACTTCTATCGGTAATGGAATTAACGACCAGATTTCGATAAAATTTGGTGCAATTTATTGTATCATCGATGGAACTCCTTTAAACAGGAACGCGTACTGTATCGAGAGATCAGGCTTATAAGTGGGCTGACGTAAACACTGTATTTTTCAATACGAATTTGTTGTTCGAAGAATCGGGGACCTTGGTGATAAAGAGCCTAGTAAACTATCAATACGCGAAATACAAGAACTTTATATAGATATAGCATTAAAACGCGTCGCCTTTTGGCATAAAATGCACACTTTCTGCCTCTATGTTGTGAATATTTTTACAAATACTTGAAGAGCCTATAACTCTTCCAGCGGTTAAGATACGTCTGATATTATTACGTCAGATATACTTGCTGTGTAACATATATAGACATGTACTATTCAACTGTAATTTGACATCTTCCGAGATGAATCTTTCTCAAGTATTAGCAAAGGGAATAACAGCGGCGCGGACGAGCCGCTTCTATCTTTGAAATTGTTTCAACCGTTTGTAACAAACGGTAGGAAGAGAACAAACTTTATTTTTACCATTGCCGAGTATGCTACGAAACATAATTTTCTTTTTCAAACATCGTGTTTCCTCTCCTACAGCTTTTACTGACGAAGGAAAGCAAACGAGAACGCAAGTTTCTTTTACACAAACGTGGTACATACGTATTCATATTGAAACTGAACATACAACGACTGATTTATCCTTCGTAATTTAAGAAGCATTAGTGAATGAAAGGAACGTAGAGAATTAGGATAAATGTACAAATTTTTGCACGAGAAATTCGTTCGGTTTCACGGTATGTATCTGTACTCGTCTTCGTAAATGACAATTTTATGTTCCGCAAATGCATTTCTCCGACATGCCAAAAAGCGATATGATATATAATAGGAAATCGGCCGTGCAAAAATAGACTTAACTCTTAAACGAATGGTATGTATAACGTTTTTGTCCGAAAAAAAGATCTATTAATTTTGAAAAAGATCGTGAATTCATGTATATTTTTTAAATACTTCTCATCTGATTGATTTCGACAATCTTGCTTTCTTATTTCCGTGTAAACAATAATGATATATAGTCTTATTGTGTAATTATTATTCGTTATGTTTACATTTTATTGATAACAATATATTATATTAATTATATATTTGCATGCGTTATTTACTTATGCCCATCTATCATATTTAATTACCATTTTTCTTATACAACTTTTTATATCGAAGTTAATGTTTGCTTGTGTAACTGCTTTGCAACCACTACATTGGCAAATAATGTACGCTTATTCATGTATTGTCATCACATCAAATAAGTATTAAAAAAAAGAAAGTTCTGTAAAAGTTGTTTTTTAAAAGCAAACGGAAGCAGGATAATAATTCTTATCAGAAGAAAGGTCTTTTTACAAACTGATTCCTTTATCGTTAGCTATTTTCGAGCTTAATTGCTATTTTATTGTATAGTTCCTGTTAAGTAGTTGATAAAATTCGAAAAAGCTTCAACGTAAAATATAAATAGAGATTACATTTATTGCATAGCGTTTCCTTTTTATGAAGTTGAATTTGAAGATATAGTTCGATCTTTTTAGAACTCAAGTTTATCGACCTTACTCTAGTTTTATAGTTAGTGTTACCGAGAGTACCAATATAGTATAGTTGATCTTTGTAAAAACTTTTTGAACTCGACAGCGTAGAAGGAGAGTATTACATAGTATACAAATTCACTTCTTTCTGTACTTAAAACAAAAGTATAGTGATAATAGAGAACCTTTTGTACACAAATTATTCTCCTCACTGTGCCAATTTTTGTTGTCGTTACTTTCTCATTTACACGCGAACATTATGTAAATTTAGTTCTCACTGTAGTTTTTGTTAAATGTCTGAATAAACCCTCTAAGCAAATAAAGCAATATACATATACAGTTGTTAGAAGCATTGAAACTTTATATGTAGAATTGCTTAAACAAATTTGGAATTGAGTTGTCCTGGGACAACAGTATACCATGATATATCTGGACCAACAAATGTATAATAATGAGATGTAATAAAGTATATATGTTTGAACAAAGTTCATTTAATATTCTTGCTTTTATTCATTAACTCTGTATAAAATGATTCTGCTTATATCTTATTTTGTATAGACAATAAGCCGAGTAAAACGAATTTATATAATGAACTAAGTATACTGTTGTAAGAAAAAGTAATGCTAATCATTATTTACTGCCTGATGTATAGCTAGTACCAAACTGATATTATGTGATTATGAAATACATCTGTAGTATAATAAAGTATTGCGGAAGGAACATGGACTTTTGTCTCTTTATACTTTAATCGGATGTGTTCAACGTTTTTGTCTTAAAAAACAATTGTAAAAATTACGTAAATACTTTATTTCTAGAATAACGTATAGCACAATTTTTGGAGCAGGGTCAATGATATGAAAACTTACATCAACAAACAAGCCTGTAAGAGATGTATCTTCCAGCAGTTTCAGAGGGTCTAATAATTTTTACTACTTGACCACGTTTCAAACCGAAATACCGTGCAACTGGATCGCCAGCTTGTATACGCATTAATTGATTCTCTTTTAATTTGTACCTGGTAAGTAATTCTTCTTTCTCATCAGGAGTCAGCACAATATGCTCAGGTACCAATTCATGCTCCGTGATGTTGATAAGCAATTCAGATTCCAGAAACTGTTCTAAAATATATTTTGGTGCCATATCTACTAGTGACTGTTTAGCTGATGGTGTCATTCCCTGCTGTACAACGATGATTGCCCTATGAAAGAAGAAAATTTATGGCATCATTAAACTGTCTTTCAAAATTCATCAAGCAATCACTCATCAAGTTATAAGCAGTTGTTTATTCACTACCTTACCTATGAATTTTTTCTTCTTGCATACGCTGACAGTACGTCTTGATGGTTTTGATACCAATTTTCGGTTCATCCGGAAAAAATACGAAGAGCTGATCTGTTGGATCATCATTGTGGGCGACTAAAACTATAAGATCACCACGAGCCGGTCTCTTTTCGCTCGGTTTATCACCGAATTGTTCCTTGAATTGCTCCAACGTTTGATCCAATTCGTCTTGTGTGACGAGATAACCTCGATCGTGACACAATTGCATCACCGTTTTTCTTATTCGCCACAATTTATACGTTTCCGCTTCGTCATCCATTTCTCGTGAATATACGAATTAAATGCGAGTCAAAGTTTGTTAAATTCCTCTTATATTTGTCGCTTTCTTATAATTTCTGTTAAGCGATAGCTCCACAGTCCACACGGCGTGCGACTTCTTTTCGTAAACACAACTTCGTACGCTATATCGCATGAATGAACAACGACACCCCTTCCACATACATACACTACAGCACTGACCGCGTAAGCAACACGAGGAGTGACAAATTGTCACTGACAATACCGGAGGAGATACAATTCTGTGCTTACCTAAATCTTCTTGTTTCCCTTATATTTTCTATGTATATAATCGAAGCAACTTTTAAAATTAAATGCGGGCAATTAAATTAGCAGTAAGCAGGGTTTCTTCTATCCTAATGAATTTCTTATGCTTTACATAACGAAAGGAAGATTCTTATACGGTATACAAGAAATAGGATCGAAGTAACAAAGTTTCCGAATGCGAACAGCAGGGATCATTGATGGGACACGTTGGTTTTCATCTGATTTAATTGAATCCAGTTTCACGATAGGCTGTATCGCGGCATCTTTCGTAAGGTGCATATTCCACCTGTTACAGAATAAAGGAAATCAAAAGTTGTAAGAACAGGAAATGTTATCCTATCACTGTACCTAAGTTCGCTATTGGTAAATAATTTTATTTCCGATTCGACTGGATTCTCTTTTTCAGCTTTTGAGTTCTTTTCTCTGAGCTTCTTGTTCATCAGAGGGTTCAAGATGGACTCCTCGATGAGCGTCTTCTCCAGTTGTATTAAGAATGTGTCGAGAAACTTGTTTTGCGTGAAAAACGGATGATGCAGAAGCGTTTGACATTTCGGCCGCAAATCAGGATCCATGTGGAGGCACTGGGCCAGAAAATCGATCGTCAGAAGATCCCACGTAGGGAACAATTTACGAATGGACGTGACACCGGGCTTAGGTGGTCCCACGAGCTCGTCCGCACTCGCGTGTCGTAACATTCGACCAGGTCTGCTACGACCCATTATCACCTGATGTTTCGTACAGAGACCGCCTGATGCAGAATATCGAACGTCCGAATTCCACGAAACTTTGATAGAAACGGTGAAACAACTGACCGAGCAGTTTCGTTATTCGGTAGAGCTGATCGACGTCGCTCTCGCCAGGGAAGAGAGGATCGCCAATCATCATTTCCGCGAACAGGCAGCCGACTGCCCAAACGTCAACCGCTTTGCCGTATCTGGGATCACCAACGAGTAGTTCCGGTGCGCGGTACCATCTTGTGGCTACGTAATCCGTACAAGACTCGTTCGGGCTATTTACGAAACGCGCGAACCCGAAATCGCAAAGCTTGATCACTCCGTTCGGTGATACGAGAATATTTTCTGGCTTGATATCGCGATGCATTATCTGAGAAAGGTGATGAACATCTGAAAAAATCTGGTGCCGATTTCTGTATAAAATTCTTACATTGTTATTGTGACAAAAATCTAAGCCGCGAAGTACTTGACAGACGTGCTGTTTGGACACCTCCCATCCTAAACCGTTTCCCGCGCCTTCCATCTCCTCCAGCAAAGTGTGATCTAAGTACTCGAACACGAGGTAGAATCGCTTCCTTTGACGGAACACTTCGATCATATTTACTAGATTCTCGTGATGCAGTTTCTACCAAATTAATCTGACATAGAATGGAATCGATTGTGTTCTACCAGAGATGAGGTAAGTTCTACCTTTAGCATTCTGATCTCTCGGAATGCCATTTTCCGCACCCGATGATCTTCCTCGGTCTCGAGGAATCGTTTGATAGCTACGAACTGTCCGCTCTCATAGTGCTTACATTTGATCACCACGCCGTAACTTCCTTCTCCTACGACTTCTAACATTTCATACTTATCCATTTGTATTTGATTCTCGGATTTTCGGATTCTCAACGATTGCTCAATAAAAGCAAGTCAATAATTGGAATCATTTCGTGGAATTTGGCAAGAAGAAGCGAACGTGGGAGGAAGATAATTTTGTTGAAGTAAAGCCAGCCTGTCCGAGGTCTTCATGTCGCGAGATTGTGAAACGCATCTTCGTCTTTTAAAGACTCGAACGATCACGAATATACTCGGCTGACAACCAGCGATCTACCAAACTATCAAACATTAGAAGAGCGACAGAGAAATGTTCAACTTCATGTAGTGAACGAAAGATCATAATTTTTCAGGAAATAAGGAGAGATACTCTGTTAAAATTAGGAGGATGCTCTACGATGTTCGCATGAACGGTGTACGAGCAAATATAGCAAGGTGACGCAATTACACAGTGCGTTATGATACTTTGGTTATTGGCTCGCTCGTGGAAAGAGTATTCCTCATGTCGAGGAAACGGGACAGTTCCTGCTAAGTAAAGAACTTAGAGACGAAATCCGAACAGTGCATACACATATATACATACATACACATGTATACACGCAGTGGCAAGTAGCTCGATGGATAGCAACGCACTGAAATAGCCGTATCACATGACGGGGCTGTCCTTAATACTGGTTAGATTCATCTGTATGCGTTTTTACGTATTCGTGGGGGGTCGCGGATCATTGCGGATGTTCAGACTGGCGGGAAGCCCACCGAAAGAACGTAGTCTTCTTCCAGAGCGACAGCTCGACGCGCGGCTCAACAAGCAAAAATCAGATTATCGTCTGAAGCAAACGAACGCAACATGCGAATGGAAGAAGAATTTAAGATCAGTTATTGATAAAAAGTAATTGAATGGTTTTTTCATCGGAAAATAAGTGAGAGAATGAAGGTGTGTAGAATAAAAAGTAGAGCCGTGAATTATAATTCCTAAACGGGGTAGAAAATAAGCTCAGTTTCTGTTGTGTCGTTTGACTCTTGAGTGTGCTAGATGAAAAATGCTCATCCGTGACGGATTAGAGGAATGTTGAGAAGAAAAGGTGATCGGAAACGAGAATCGTGTTGATCGACGGTGGATTTCTGATCGCGATCATGGCCGAGATTCAGCAACCACAGGAACTGCCTCAATTCGATCTTCAGTCTGCGAACGGTATCAGTAGCCAAGATCAGAAATCCGTTCACCAACAGCAGCAACACTATTCGCCCCAATTGCCAAAATGGGTCTACCTGACGATATCTGAACAGAATTCGACTCAGCCACCGGATCAGGTTCCATACCCGTTACTTTCCATTTTGGAACGATAATTTTCTGACGTAATAATGATCTAACGATTGCAGAGTCGGAGCAAGTTACTTCCGGCAATCTGGAACGGTTTTACAGCGCCGACGTCTCAAACTTACGTACATCGCAGACTGAATCCTTTCTGCGTGATCGGAAGTAGCTTTGTAGACAATATCGGGGAGCTCGCGAATCGTTTTACTGAACTGGCGTTATTAGATAGAAAATCAACCAAGAGACCACCGCCCGGCTATCTTTGTCACCTGTGCTTCAAGAAAGGCCACTACATCAATGATTGCCCACAGGTACGCATTCGGAATCTCATGCAAATGACAGAAATCACACGGAGAGAGAAATCAGGTTTTTACGCGGTGAAAACTCGTGCTATAAGACGGTGCGATTCTCATATTCGATTTTCCTATGAAACGTAACTAATGATCGAATGTCTACTGTTTCAAAAGAGGAAAATTTCCGCGCTATAATAATTATTCGAATAGCTTTGATTTTAATATTCTTTATTTATCACGAAGCAATGGGGCAGGCGTTATCACCGATTCGAATAGATTAAACTGGGCAAAGAATCGCGCCCAAACACCATCTGTCAAGGTCATGAGTCGCCATCTCTATGTCTCCCTTCACCCTCATACTGAGCTCGTTGAGAATGCGAGAGCCTGAGCAAGCCTGAGCTGTGAGCTGAGGCTGAGAGCTCCGTGAGCCAGTGATCTATATGGACAGAGGATGACAGAGGATAGCAGTGATAACACATGCTTTTTTGAGCGAGAAGTTCTGCAAGTTGAACTGATTACCAGCGCTACCATAATGGAGGACAAGTACTAAGAAGCGCGTAAAAGCGCAGTCGCAGGTCATGGGCACATGTTCTTCAGATGCTGGTCAAGTTTAGACTTAGAGCATATACTGTATACATGCAGGAAGCACGCTTACGGTGACATTGTAGACGACGGTGAGAAAGAAAGAGAGAGAGAGAGAGAGAGAGAGAAAAAGTAGTTTAGATAATATCTGTCTCTGTCGCGCAAGCATGTGATCGGTTCACGTGTCTTCGTCTCTACTGTGTTTGTGTGTGTGTGTGAGAGAGAGAGAGTAACCAAATTATTGCTCTCTCTTATCATCGTCTACACTCTTTCAGACGGCATGCTTCCTCCATGTAATTGTAATATATGCTCCAAGGGTTTAATGCACCTGAAAGTTGAAAATATATTTTCAACTACTTGAAATGAGTTTTCACACGCTTTTTAATAACTATTATCCACTATGGTAGTGTTGGCAATCACTTCAATTTGTAGAACTTTCTTAGCTGTATCCTGTATAAATATAGATTGCTGCTGTGCGTGGTCGCGAGCTGGGGGGGCAAACCTAAGTGGGGCGAATTGAAGCAAAGTTTCTAGCGCCTCGTACCAATGGTTCACGAACTAAAGTGTATAAATGTGTGAACGATCCCATGTGTGCGTATATACATATATGCCATATATGCCCTTAACATGAGATCAACCAAGGAAAGAGCTGATACAATTCAAAGATTACTATTTCAAATAATGTAAGAAGAAATTTAGTGTTTTCCTACATCGTTTGAAATAATAATCTTCGAATTGTGTATCCGCTCGTTTCTTGGGTCATCTTCTGAAAAATATAAAGTTAATTATAAATTAATTAATTGGTAATTAACGTAATTGAATGCATGTTTGTGCAAAAATTTTTTTTATTATGAGCAACAATATATGATACATGAACGTACGTTCTATAAACATAGAAATATATATCAAAATACATTCAAACTCTATTATAATTCTATTGTTGACCCTCACGTTGAAATCCTGGTGTTCCTAGTCATCCCCGCAATGTGACTGGAGTCTTGATAACCCCAATCGTTCACACATGGTTGAAATCTGTAAAATATGAACAACAACATCACCTACATGATAGTATAATTTATTGAAAATTTCTCACAATATCGTGTACTTACCTAGAATGGTAAAGTGACGTTTTCTGTTCTCTTGCCTCATCTTACTTGCACAATACCTGCACAGGCTACACATGTGTTGTGATGTCACTAGCGCCTCCTACCATTGTTGAACTAACTAAGCATTACACCGACAGTAGCACGAATGTAGTAGTGCTCACTGGTATATTTTAAAGATGTGGTTGTGATGTTTAGTTCGTGAACCATTGGTACGAGGCGCTAGAAACTTTGCTTCAACTCGCCCCACTTAGGTTTGCCCCCCCCAGGTCGCGAGGGCCGCGAACTCTGAGCTTAATATTTACAAACCATCGTTTTATTTGGTTGTAACGCAAGTGATTGAAAATGGCTAGACGTAAACAACAAAAGAATAATCAGAACAATGTACAAGTAATAGAAGTATTACAAACAGTACAAGCAGTAAAAGCAGGCGGAAGTCCTCTGGTACCGGTACGAGCAGAGGCTAAACCTCCGGTACAAGTGCAAGTAAAGAAAACACATCCGATACAAGGGCAAGAAAGAATCTCCGGCCCAAGTACAACTTCTGGTACAAACACAAGCACAGAATGGAAACCTCCAGTACAAGTGGAAGCAAAGAAAAAGCCTCCAGTACAAGTGCAAGCAAAGAAAAAATCTGTGGTACAAGTAGAAGGAAAAACTCCAGTAGAAGTGCCAGCAAAGAAAAAATCTGTGGTACAAATAGAAGGAAAAACTCCAGTAGAAGTTCTAGCAAAGAAAAAACCTGCGGTACAAGCAAAAGTAAAGAAAATGGTATCAGTACAAGTGCAAACGCCAAAAACGAAACGACCAAAACAAAAAGAAAAGGTAGGTCCGAAATGATTGTGAGGTAGCGGCACGTTATGCTTTATTTTCCTGGCAACGTTTCCCAGGGAAGCTTGAGTTCCAGACAGTCTGGTGATAGGGCTTGCACGATGGATATTTTCAACCTTTGACTTAGCATACGATCGTGACAAAAATACACAGGACAGAAGACGAACTGCATAATAATGACTTAATAAATGAAATAAAAAAGATTCGATTTTTCTCTCCGTTCTGTCGTTTAATTTACCGGTAATTGAGACAACAAACAATAGATTATCTCCGTGCATCCGTTCCTCTTCAATCCGCTCCATTTGGCTTCATTAGCGTTACATATACGCGTATTATTTTTGGACTCACAGAACAACGCGAATAACATCGCCAACCGTTTCACGAAATGTGTTAGTCAATATTTCGAGTGCCTCTCGAAATTTTGTTTCCACGCGTGAAATCTACTCTTACAATAGTCGCGGCAAATTAACGATAAGTCGATTAATAATTTAAATTAAATCTGTGTATAAGTACTTTTAACTATTATGTAGACATAGAATGATGAAAGAATGACAAATTACCACAGGCGCAGTCAAAACCAGAAGGCGAGACGGGCAAAACGCCGTATCAAGGGAAAAAACGATGTTTTGGGGAATACAAGTGCCCTAAGTGCAAGCACTGGTGGATGTCGGCCAATAGCTGGGCCAATATCGGCCAGAAATGCACCAGATGCCGTTCAAAAGAGTACATCTACCCACACAAGCAGGTGAATATAATACTCGAGAGATTGTTCTTCTCTAAATAAACTCTCAGCGAACGTATTCCAAATCGTCAATCGTGAATTACGCAAGCGTATTTTTATATCAGATTTACTCGACGCTTTTGCGTATTTTCAGAGACCGTTAGAGAAACCAGACGGATTGGATGTGTCTGATCAGAGTAAAATTCATCCTCAGCACCTGTGTCAGAAATGTAAAATGCTTGGTTATTATTGCCGAACGGACCAGTATTACTAAATCTCTAATCGTAGGACCATAGAAAATCAGGCATTCAATGAAAATTGATGCTAACTTTTTTGCAACTGTGATAGCATGAAAACATAAGTCAGATTTTCGGCGTTTAATTACGTAAATATTCGTATAACATTTTTTTACTCGATTATATGTATAAATTAGTAATTGAGCTCTAAAGAAAGATGGAATAGTTTCATTTACATACAGGTCTCTTATATCTTTTTTTTCATTTGATAATTATATATACATACATTGTATGGGTATGTATATGACGCTGCCGAGTTTCATTTTCGATTACAAAAATGTCCACGAATATAATATCCCGTGTATATATGTACAAGGTGAGGTAATTTGCAATCGGGAATCGCGGATGTCCAGCAAATAAAAAATTTTGGTTTGTACCCAGCTTATGAATCTCTAGCTTTTTATATCCGTATGTACATATAGGATGAACAAAAAGAAGGAAAGAAGCACGAGAATAAACTCTCCGCTTATGAAGTGCATTGATGCATAAAGCGGAGACCAGCCGCTCTTCTCATTTATATATATATTATTTTACGCATATAATGTGTATGTAATATCTACTTAAGTATATTAATAATAATAATATCGAATGGATCTTTACACGCTATTATTATTAATATATCCTAATGGCGAATATACAAGAAGCCAGAAGATCATCTACGGTCCATCTATCTATTAGTTTCCATTTCGCTAAACCTTTATCCAAAAATGTCTCTCCCGATAAAACAATGATACGGTATGTGCGGTGAATATACAGTGGTCAAGGATTAGCGACGACGAACAGTCGATCTGCCGCCGGATCTTCGCTAAAATACGCTGCGGAATTAAATATTGTCGCTGTTGCGGAATCAACAGTCATCGTCTGTAAAGAAAAAAATCGTTAAACGTCAATGAAACGTATTCGTGTATGGATGCAACTAAAATGATAATGATCGATGAATTCATTATATTCAGATCCACCAAGGAGATACTAAAGATTGGCAGTGCCTGCGTAATCGTTGAGACAGTGAATGAGGCCCAATGGGGCTCCAAATACAATCAGCAATCGCTCTTTTCTATAGTAATCGGTACCGACGAGTGCTTTACTTTCTGTTTCTTATTTCGGTGGCAATATATTCTAAAGGACGTAAAAAATTGTCGACTTTCTCGTGAGCTGCCATTCTTTACTAATTTCTTCTCGGTGTCAGATCGATAAAAGAAAAGAAAATAAAAACGAAAATTACCGCTAGAATGAGACGAAAAATCAATCAATAGCGCGACGGTTTAATGTTGCTAGAATGCAAAACATTGATTCACCTGCGAAGAATTTGGTGTTCCAACGTTCTCCGCCTCTTGCTCATACGATGAGTGTAACGCGGTTTGCTGATATTGTTGTTGCTTCCTCCACTCCTCGTGTCCGTTTGATTGTGTAATATGTTCCAATTCGTCGTTCGCGCTTACAATTAGCTGTGATCGTTCATGGTACTCTTCCTGACAATGCTGCTCCGATTGATTATCAGTAGCAGGATGACAAGTATTGTGCGGTTCTATTACACGGCATACCCTTGTGTACGCCGAGTTAGGTATGTTCGGATGCTCCTGATCGACTAATGTAATTATCTGCGGCAATTCACTAGCAGCTATAGGCGGAACAACGACGACAGGTGTCGAAGTTAACGGAACCGTCGCATTACCCAGATTTGTAGGTTCCAAAGAAGAGGATGTATTCCCCAATTCGTTGGCTTCGTTAACGACCGACGTATTCTCGAGTGGAGTGGGTTGAGGTGGAGCTATGGATCCGGAGAACGAAGGCTGCTGTTGCTCCACCAAACTAATTACTTGCGTAGTTTGCTGCGCTTGCTGTTTTGGAGATTGCGGCGAGGACGGTGGCGAGCTGACGACTGGCGGTTCTGGGAATAATTCTTCTCTTAAATCAGGTAGGAATGCGTCGATCGTTCTCCATGTCGGAGCCCACAGATTCGAGCTCGGAGCCAACACGTTAGCGGAAGACATGACTAACAACATGTTCTTTAACGATTCCGGTATGGCCTCGAAGAGGAGCTCGCTGTTATCGGCGTGCATGTAGGCGCGCAGCAGACTTAAAACAGTCAGCCAGAGCGGTAAGAATCCAGGAAGGGTCAGTAACGGGTTTAGATGATGAAGAAACACTTTGGATAATAGCATCGCTGCTCTGACTCTAGTCTCTTCCACGCCGATGGGATCGTTCGATGCTATCGGACCTAGTAGTTGAGCCAGCAGAGGGAACAGAACTTGTTCTAGACATTGAGACCATTCTACCGCCGATAATTGAGCCAGATCATGAGCAAGCAGAGTACTCTGAAGATATGTTATTGCTGCCGTGCGCACTTGCCTACGAGCATCACAACACAGCCTCGCGATTCCTTGTAGCAGTGGTCTCCAAGCTTGCGGCCATAATGATACGCTCTCTGTAGCGTTACCCTCTTCAGCCCACCATCGAAACACTTGAGCAGTTCTAGTATGAAGAGTGTGCATCAGATCTAACAACTGTATCGGACTCTGCTGGTAAGCGGTAGTAGTAGTTTCAGATTCTTTCGTCCCACTGTGCACTTTATTTCTCTTCCCTGAACACTGAAGAACCGCTTCGGCAAATGTTCTCACGCAGCGAATACACAACTCGAAATTGAACGGTGTCACGTGCGCTACATCTCTGACTAGAAACGTCAAGCTCTCGCAGCACTTGATGAGAGCGGCGGGATCGTGGGGATGCAAATCGCGATCCAAAATGATCGTGTCTGCGGCTACGGGCAACGGCGCTTCGGTTCCTGTTGGAGACACGAGTGCCCATTCCGGTACAGGACTGATCGGTCTAGGATCCAACACCGACAAATTGGCCGCTTCATCCAGCACAGTATTCGACTGCTTCGGTAGCAGCGCACCGGCGCCTGCACATTCCAACAAACTGAACACTACCTTCCAATCTTCTGTACTATGAATATTCGCGGCACCGGTCTTAAGTAGTTCGAATAGACCGTAGGCGATTTGTCTAGACAGTGGGGGAGTCGTAGCAGAAGGCAAATGCGCCAACGGTAACAAAGGCGGTAAGGCGGTGCACGCACATTCCTCTCCGCGTAACAAGCGGATCGCTAATCTCAACATTCCAACTGCTACACGTTCCAAAAGATATGGCTGATTTTCGCGCGCTGCTGTCGTTAATAATCCGTCTAAATGGGCTTGCACTATTGGCCAAATGCACGCTACTCTGTCACGATTTTGAATGGTTACTTCCAGTAGAAGTTCCAACAGGAATACCGAAACGTCCTCGTCGTAGTAGTTTGTAAAAACCAGAGCTCCGACCAGAGAGCGGAGCGATTCGACTTGCAGGAATTTGCTTTCCTCGATCACCTGTCTCAAATAACAATTTGCGACGAATTCCGTGGCTCGTTTTCTTGCAATTGTCTCCGCCGGATGGGACATGCGTGAAGTGTCCATAGCGATGTACGAATATAAGCTAGATAATATACCCTGGTCTACAGGTGCGGGCTTAGGTGTATTGGATTCTCGAATCAATGATATCTTCCCTGATGGGTCGATAAAATCTTCTCCCTCGGTCAAGCTCTTTGGTAACAATTTTGCTTTGTACAACGATTGCAGGCAATCGATAATATTCTTCCATGAAGCTCGTACCGCGTTCCCATGTATATGAGTAATTTTAAAAAGCGTACGTGCAGCTAATTGACATTCACCACTTCTGCCCAAGTGTAAAACCACTTGATCGGGTTCGCCACCGGTCGCAAGTCCAGTAAACTTGCATAAACTTACTATCAGAGTATCCAAATCACTGCTCATCCCGTAATGAGCACTGATAGAAGCGCACCTGTAATAAAACGTAGCTGTCATGTGACATTCGCTTCGAGTGATTTGTACTTCGGTTTAGGATATGAACCTGAGAAAAGTTTCGGCAACTCGACGTTGCAATGCTCTATCGGGCGCTTTGTCGTATGCTCTGCAAAGTGCACTTATGATAGGTGCCCATGCTAGTTCGGCTAATTCCTTATCTACGAATTCACCGGCATTCCCAACTTTCAGATAGTAACTTTCCGGCCCGATACCTCTTCGTAATAGGACTTTCCATAAGTAATTATCCTTTACCAAACCGGTCTGTTCAGCAGGCATCACGATTTCCTCACCTCTAATAAATGTAGAAAATAATTAGTTACAATATGAATTCTATAATTAATTACATAATTGATAAGCAAAAAGACTTTTTACTTAATAGAGGCATATATTTCGTCGAGCATTTCTTGGTCGAAATCAGCACCACCGTTCACCTTTTTTAGATTCCTTTTGAATTCATCGCAAGTCATAGGATTATTTTGTCGTTTCACGTTATAGTTATGTTGATCGACGTTCAACATGATCACAGCATACGCTAAAGTAAATGCAGCGTCCGCCGAAGAAAACGGCCTACCATTACTATCCTGGAAAGTAAACATGCAATTCATTATAGATACTATCTGTCACGATGAGAAATATTGCCGAAACGAAATATCGGACTCACATGCCAATGATCGGCAAACTTCTCAAGCAGCAAAGAAATAAGTGGGGCTTCGCCAGGAAGCCTGAATGATTCTAAATAAAGTCGCAAAGCCTGGTCGATACGCGTATTTTTTAAATCAAAACGGTGCACGAAACAGTTTAAAACACTTTTGTTCTCTTTTTTACTGATATATTCTCCGATAGCTTTCTTGTCGAGGCCAGGGTTTTCTTTTAAAAATTTTGCTATTTTCTCCGGATCAGGATTTCCAGGAGTTCCACCCAGAAGACCATGTTCCGTGAGCTTTGCAATGCCTTCGCGCGGATTTTCATTGAATTTTTCAGTACCGAGCACCAACCACTATACGAAAAGAATATACATTATGATTCTCTTAAAGATAAGAAAAGAAAGCTGATTAAACACTGACCCGTTTATTTGCTCTTATGGCGAGTAACTCTTCTCGTGTTGGAAGCTTTGGTGACGCGTCGTGTCGAGACGGTTTCCACATTTCTTTTTCGCCTTTGCATCTGATCTCCATTCCAGAAATTAGAGAGATTATAGCGTCCAAAGAAATGAATTGCATACTGTGCATATTACCCATTAACGCAGAAGCATTCTAATAATAGGATAGACGCATGTCAGGAATTACATGAAGTATTAACGTATCCTTAACAGAGAATAAAAATGTACCTTTGACAAAAGCTTCATCAATTCTTCGTATAGATTTGTCGAATATAAATCACAATCATAATTCAAATACAATTCTGCTGGTAAACCGGGTATCCTCCATAGCCGCACAATAGCCTCTGAAATAAAATAAAGTTAGACCCTTGTCGGACGACTTCGTTTTAAACGAAGAACTGAGATTCCGTACCAAGAGCTAATTCACGTTGTTCATATGATATCCGATTCGAATCGGAACTTACTATTTCCGTCAGTTTGTTTATGTAATGTTCCATTTGAAATTTTAAGTGCTCTCTTTGCGACTCGAATAACAAGAATGATACTTGTAAATCCAGTGCGAGAATCGATAATCGATCTGAACCTAGAAGCTAGTAAATACGATCACGATTATTAAATATAAATCTCCAGTTGTACATATGCACCTATCTATCCCTACTCCTCTACCGCAAGTCCGATCACGATTATTATACATTATTTTACTCTCGAATAAATTTAGAACAGATTCTTACCAATATAAGATTTCTACACAGATCATCTCTCACAAGTGCCAGTAATGACGGGAAATTGGACAGATAATCAGCAGCAATTTCTAAAGCTACTTGTAATAAATTGAGTCCAAGCTGAGTCATAATGTCGTTATTTTGTTTATCCAGGGGACAGCACAGAGATACGAGAAACCTAAATAATTCACGTACACACAGGGCACCATACGGTGCTAATTGCTGATGCGGCATAAAACGGACTCCTTGGGCATTTATGTATTCTTCGACTTGTTCAGAATCTTTAACTTTAGATTTCTTGCATACGCTACTTGTACTTTCGTCTAGTGATAAATCTTCTACACTTCCTGCTGGAGACTTTATTAAATCTATATTTTTCTCATCTTCGATCGTTTTTGTAAGATTTTCTAAAAGAAGAAATCGAATGAAAGAAGTGGTGGGATCGCTACCAAGTAAAATATAATTAAAATGTGTACCTTGATTTTCAACTTTCGATAAATTTATTCCCTTAGTTTGATTTTGTTCACCTATTCCTACATTCTCTGCGCTCTTATCTTCTCTTCTCAAAACTTGATCTTCTTCACTGACAACGCTTGCCTTGTCTTCCGTTTCGTCACTTTGTTTACTCTCTTGCACATTCTTTACATCTTTTTCTTTTGCATCTTCCTGCTTAGCGGTTTCAGTTCTCTCACTCACATCTTTCTTATTATGATCCTTGTTATCATGCTTTTCCTCCTCTGCTTTCTCATTAACACAGTGATCTAAAGATCCCTGCATATCAACGATAATTCCTGTAGGACTACTAACAGGCGTTGTTAAATTATTCGATCTAATTCTATCAGGTGGACTTGGTACGTGACTTTCGGTATCGCTCAAGCTGTCCGTATTTTGTTTCAACTTCTGTTTGGTGTAACTTTTATTTTTTCTATTTTTACTGCGAGTATTTTCCATACTATTCGTCCTCATTTTCTACGGAAAGAATACAACATATTAAAATATTATGTTCGATCAGAGAATGACTGGTAACTTACTTTCATATTTAGTAAAACTCTTGTATCATCTACAAAATGTGGTAAACGAGTAAAAAGATGTTGCACCATATCCCTGAGACAATGTTCTGCAGTTCTTCTTAGCAACTCTGTGACCAAAGAGACTTTTGAATCAAGATTTAATTCAAAGTATTCATAGTGTTGAGTATACGTACCACTAAGACGAGTTTCGAAGCATATTCTAAAGCAACTGAGCATAATTTCACAAATGCTCTCATTAGAGAGGTAATCTCCCGCAGGTGATAACATTAGAGCTCTCAAAACTTGAAGTATTCTCATTAAAACAACTCCATCTCCTGAGGCATCTGTTCCAACGAACCTTGCATGCGTAACAGCGTCAGCAACAGCTTCTACACAGTGTGCTATTGCAGGGTGATCGGAATCTACAAAAATATCGTTGCAAACGAGATACCAACACGATCGACCACCTATTTTATATGTTGGTTATTTACCAATAAGACCGTAAGATATCAGCTTGTTAACAGCTGACAATGCGAGACTTGTAACAGGTCCAGTTGTTTCTTCAGATCTTATAATTTCAAGGAAAGGAGCCAAAAATACTGCTGGTTCTAAGTAGGATAAATCTTTCGCTTCGTTTAGTGCTTCTTTCAAAGTAAATAATCCTTTTATAAGAGCATCTTGATCGTCATCCTTAAAATGGATAAAATAATTAATTTGAGTAAATTTAATAATATGAAAATGTATTCCTACATCACTACCATACTGCTTCTTGCAACCTGTTTGATTCAACAGTAATCAAAAAGTATACAGGCAATGACGACACGTAAATACGTAAACAGTGATTAAATAAATAGCAGCAAGACTGTAACCACGGTAATTGTATATCTCTTTTGCACAAGGTAAAGCGATTGACCAGAAGAATTTTAACCTGGTGGGAGTGAGCGGACCATCGAGCGCCTCGTCTCATAGCCGTCACCAGGAGGCAGAGTTCACCTTCGACAACGTATAAGCCGCCTCCTGGGCAAGCCACTTTCCCCGTTTTGCCCATCTTCTTTTAAAACACTTAATCTTTACACCATTTTTGTACCAAAGAAACCTTAGAAAATATTCGATAATTCGTAACGTCAAGTGTCAAATAGAACACTTGGGAACACTTCCAACACGATAGGCATAGAGTTAACAACTTCCAGTTTAGGTTTACTCAGACTTCGCCTGGCCTACACTCTTCTTACGATACTCCATCTAGTGCACATAATTTTCTTTTATTAACAATAAATAAATTTTCATATGTACATACAACAATAGACAGCTTGAAATTGCGTTATTTTATTGATATATAATTTATATCTTACATAAAGAATTGATTACCAGAAGATATTTAGGGATGAGAGGTCAGAAAATATGATAAGAACATAAGCTTTTATATCCATAAGCTTGCTAGATTGATTACATATCTCATTGTGTGTATTATAAAAATACCAAGTACTGATAAATGTGAATTCAATTCAGGCTTTCAGATACATGCGTATATAAAGCTTAAACTTCTCATGAGAACATTATTCCAATTCCAGTGTTCCAACAGTAAGCCAAGGTTGTGGCCAAGGTACTTTAACAAGTTCGAAAAATAATAAAAATTTTTAAATAACTGTAAGTGTGTAATTAAAGATTAAATGTATTATAAATGTTTAAATGATATAATCAGATGTATAATTCTCTCATTGATATTTTCAATAGATAATTAATTTATCATCCATATGTGTTTCGTTCTTATTAAATTTATATGACTCATAAGTTCTGTAAAAACGGTAGTATCGGGTCGGCAATTAAATTTTCCGCACCAAGAATCGATCCTTTCGTGATTGTCTTTTGTTCATCTGACAACGTGAAAAGAATTGCTTAACAAGTCAAAGCCTCTCCACTCACCTTTCAATCAGTTCGACCTAATCAAATCCCAATTTCCATATAAACATGTACTCCTTTCTGAAAAATTTCCAAATTAATATGTTCAAAATTTCAACGGGTTTTATTAGTGCCATGGAGATAATGCTCGAAAACTGTCCGGCTCCAACAGTCGGGGAAAAAAATTATGAAACAGGTGGTAAAGTTCATAACAATGGTTAATTTCGTGGGGCTGTATGAAAATACAATGAGAACATTTTTTATTTCCAATGAAATGGATATTAAGACAGTCCAGGTACCACTGGTCTACTTATATTACAATCTCAATAATTTAATGCATCGGATTTAGTTTACAGATCGGAGGAAACAGACATGCCTGTGTCAAAGGAAGAGATTAAGCAGCTGATCGAATCTGACGCAGTGGTGATATTTTCCAAGACGAAATGTCCGTACTGTAAAATGGCTAAAGAGGTATTGGCTGAGTAGTTTGTTAGCTATACATTTCATATTACTATACTTCATATAATATTATTCAGGTGTTTAACAAGTTACAAAAGAAGTATACTGCTATCGAACTGGATGAATGGGATAATGGAGATGAGATTCAAACGATATTGGGTGAAATGACTGGCGCTCGAACAGTACCCAGAGTGTTTGTTAATGGAGTATGTTTAGGAGGTGGATCTGATGTCAAAAAATTATATGATTCGGGAGAGTTACAGAAGAAATTCTAATATGTATATAATTTTTAACTTATTCCCCATAGAACTAATAATACTAAATTTTATTAATTCTTGTGTTATCAATAAATATATAATTTAAGTTACATGTTTTCATTACCCTGACATTCTCCTGACACTGATTGTCATATAATACACGCTAAATAATATTTGAAGAACTCTTTCAACTATTTCGTTTCTATTTCTTATTCGAATGAATGTATGACCGTATATATCGTATGACGAAATTATGCTGCAAGAACTACGTATTTCGTCGTTCATTTCACCACGTGTCCACTATCGAATATGCATTCGTACGTGAGTCAATTTACCTAAAAATATCTAGACGGATCCCGGTAAAATAGTATAATATTCAGTGGATCGTACACGTGTAGAAATGGATCTCTCTCAGTATCGGAAAGCCTTAATTTACGTATTGACATTTCTCGCCTATGCGTGGTCTGGCTATGGTGCTGGCTTACTGTCGAATTTACGGGACGCTGTGTTGACAGCTGAATCGGTATTTCAAGATTTATTTGGAAACGCGATCACGGTAGCTAGGAAGATAAAGGATATACACGAGGTGTTTGACGCTGCTGTAGACGAAAACTGTGTCTTTCAATGTCCAGGAGGTACATCAATCTTTAACCTACTGTTAATTATTCATTCGTCATTGTTATTATTAGCTGACTAAATACGATCTTCTGAGTCTACGCAATTCCTATAAAATTAATCATCTAACGATAATACAATACTTTTATCGTACCTCCTTAATCTAAATATGTACGTTTCATTTTTTTTTTTTATTCATCTTCATACGATATTATGTAATTGTGGGAATTAACACCCGTATCTCTGGTATGACTAATTCTAGCTAGAAATATTTTGCAACAATTTCAGGGATAGTGCCAAAATCGGATTGGAATCATAAACCACAAAGTAACGGATGCGGTTCACTGGGAATCGAAGTACGCAAATGAATGGAAGGAACTGTTTACAAGAAATGACCCGAAGGAAGTAATCTTTATCGGACTGATTATTTCATTTCAGATAAGTCAAGAATATCTGCCACTGGCAGAAATGACTAAATGCTGCGATGCACACGATATATGCTACGACACGTGTAATTCTGATAAGGAAAAATGTGACTTGGAGTTTAAGAGATGTTTGTACAAATTTTGTGAAGGGTATCAAACAACTACTATAATAAACACTTGCAAAGCTGCTGCGAAAATGCTTTACACCGGTACGACCGCCTTAGGGTGTAAAAGTTACATGGATGCACAGAAGGAAGCTTGTTACTGCGGAGATAAATGGAATAAGAACAAGAAACCGAAAAGGGCTGCTCAAGCTGGAGGAGAGTTATAAGACCGACGCATTGAAAGGAAACCGTGATCGTAAAATTTTTAATGTAACATACACTTTGAATCTCGTTTTCCAGATCTGAGAAAATAGAAGCAATTGTGCGACCTACTTACCCTTATCTTAACTTGTAACAAAACATCCCAGTTGGGGAAGTTTAGTTAAACCGTACCTTGAAAACCTTATTTTCGAAATTTGTATAGTAATTATTGTTAAGTAATTTTGTACTTGTGTTAGAGTATACAAACGAAATAATTTTACTGCGAACTGTTTCGATTGAAATGTAAATATTTTTTACAGACGTTAGATAATAAAGAAAAAGTAGATTATAGATTTATTGGTCGGTTTTTCTGCCTTGATACAATAGCTTTCCTTTTTATCTATTCTATGTAGAAAATTACTAAAAACTCCAAATTTTTACTTATTCACTTGTTTCCATTGAGAAACAAGGGAAGGCACGCTTAGCGTTGACAATATCATTTCAATTTCGTACAAAATTAATCAAGTAATGAGGAACATGATATAAATTTTGTGAACGGTCGCGTGGAGAATGGGAAACACCGGATCCGCGCAATCAAAAACGCAGAAGCGGAGACTGAGTGACAAGTAAGGCAATTTCCGAGTCGACATACAGATCGTGTAGACTATCAAATGTAGAGTTAACATTGACTTGTTCAAATATGATGGGTAAATACATAAAAGCATAGTTTGTATCTTTTACCTCTGGGTAGCGTAGGTGGTCACATCGGAAGGAATGGAAAAGTTGTAAGAGCTCCCGGACGGCGAGGACTCAATGGACAGGAGTTAATAAAATTTCGGGCAACTAATCCTTTCATAATCTTCTACTTGCGTCTACGTAGCAAAAGACCCAAAGACCATGTAACTGTGATTGCACGGACAGCTGGAAAATTATGGTCCCAAATGACTTCAGAACAAAGAAAGAAATATATAGATTTGGCAAACGCTGAGAAAAGAAGACGGGAAGAGCAAAAAAGGAAACGAAAATCGAGGTGATTCCGTCATTTTAATAAATATATGTATGTACCTTTTCTCTAAATTTGTCTGACGCACTCGAATATCTTTTTTCTAGAAGAAAAAATAGAAGACGTTTATAAAAATTCATGAAATGGTGAAAAAAAGTGAATAGAATTGAACTGGTATACCAAGTATGCGTGTGCACCAAGCGCGCAATTTATGTCCTTACGGCAAGTCTTTTATTCGTGAAAAATATCGTCATGAAGAAGCATTTATTTTTGATTCCTTTTTATTTGTTAGTAGTTTTTTCTTAGCTCTATGTACAATAAATATTGATGTATTTTTACACTATCAATGATCTTTTTTATCGTTTAAGAATTACGCTAAAAACCAGGCAAACGTGTTTGCCTCTCGCACTTATAGTCTCGTCTGAAAAAATTAAATTCGTAACGTTACTATAAATATATTATTTGTTCGCGATCGTTCCTCGAAGCGTCGTGCACACGAGGGAAATTACAATTGAACGTACACGAACGAGCACCATTTTATATTTCCCATGAAAGAAGACGAAGGATTCAAGATACTCGTCTTCTTTTTTTAATTCCATACAAAAAATAATTTCAGGGTAATTTTCACGACGCTCCGTGGAAGAGCTTTCTTTTTTTACGCATCATTCTTTTCGAAACTAACATGTGCCCTCTCGCTCACAATAATAGAAAATAAAAACATTTTCATACAGTAGAAAGTGAAGAATGGATAATAAGTGTATCGTATATATGTACGCTTTTGCATACACACCTACTTTCCGCATATCTGTGCACGTATGTAACTGAGGGGCATTGGGACTGGAGAAAAACGTAATTCTATACTGATCTCGGAGAAAATGATGAAGATGACGACGACGACGACAATGATGAAGGATACGATAATGGTGGAAACAATAATAATGAGGATATTAATAATAATATTAATAATAAAAATGATAATGGCGATGATTGTAATAATAATAACAATGATAATAATAGATGTAATAGTCATAATTCTATCAGCAGTAAGAAATACAATAATAATGACGACGATTTCCGCCATCGACGAGAGTACCTTCTGAGGGGACATTAACGAGAAGCGCGATCAATCAATGAGAATGAACGAGTTGGCCATTCATATCAATTAATTTGCATTAGTATAATTATCATTACCGTAATAGTAGTACAAGTATTTTTATGATACAGTAAAGTACAGCGTGCCTCGAAGGAAACGTAAACAACAACGTTCAACAATCGATAATATCAAACAGAATATTCTTTGTAAGTGTCGTGTAGTACACGCGCGCGCACATGTATATAATATATACATACATATACGTATAATATACACGTATCACAGTATACATACACACATGTATACCATGGTACAAAAACTTAACACCGCTGTAATTTCGGATGGGAATGCCCTACTAAAAATAGGTATCCAATTTGTCGATCGTGGATTGACTCCAACATTGTATATACAATCATTTACATACATACACATGTGCGTCTATGCGTTTACGTATGCACGTTTGCGTACTCACAAGCACGTACATATGTATGTATAATCCATCTATCGACGGATCAACACCTAGATAAGTTATTTAATCGTTTTAAATGCACAATTTACGAACCCGAGTTCCTCGATTTATTCGATTTTATGATTGTTTTTTATACGTACACATATGCTCCTCTTCTCTTTCATAAACACGCGTGAACACGCACACAAACACACGCGAATTCATCCATCTCCGTGTTCAATATGTTAAGAATGAATCCATTTAATACCAGCCGTTCGATTTTCATAATCGCTCTGGACTTTTGTGGAGTTTCGTAAGCGAACGGATTAGATTGCAGCAGGAAGAAGGATAAGTCAATATTGTAAAAATTTTCAAGTAAAAGAGAAGCGATATCTGAAACATTCGTCAAGAAGACTACGAACGGTAGCGAACGCAAAGGAAATGATACAAATTCTCTGGATAGCGGATAGCAGGATTCTCAAGGAATTGAGTTGAAAAGATTATTAACTTGTAAGACTATCATTGCTTACCAGCGAACCATCAAAGCATGTTGAAACTCCTCGTTTATTTTAGGGTTTCGTTACTGCAGTAGGTAAAAGAATGTGCGCTTAGGTGTGTGTTGTGTGACTAACGCGGCCTCATCGAACTATTCAAAGGCTGCATCAGACCTCCGTTTATGTAACCATGGTACGTCGTGTACACCGCAGCGGGATTCTGTTGATGAGGATCCTGAGGATACGGTGCAGATACATTGACAACCCCAACGGGCAACTGGCTAGCTTGGTTCATGAAGCCACCGAGTTGTGCAGCTTGATTCATATAGCCGGTAGCGGGTTGTGCCACCCGATAACCATACTGAGCCATGAGATTCGTGTTCAACGCCACGTTGGGGCTGACCCTGCTGGCGGCTGTCTGCATTTGAGGGCAGGTACTTCCAGGATCGAGAGTTTGTCTGTACAGGCTCTCACTCGGATACGGCTGCGTCAAAGATGTCATGTTCGCATTCGCCGACGACCTCGAGGTCGATCTGCTGGGCGGTCCGGGAGTAGTAGGCGGTACCGTGTTTACGTTGTAGTAATTCTTCGGATATCCCAAAGGTACTTGAGGCGGTGTCGGCAACTGCCTCGATGTTTGTGGTGGTGTCATCGTATGCGGTATAGGAGGCGGTGGTGTTAAATTCATCGCCGGTGGAGGCGTAGGCGGTATCATCTCTAGCCCGTTTGTCAGTTGCTGTAGTTTTGCTAGGCTACACGAATTCGTGGTTTGGTGATTCCCTGAGGCTGATAAAGGAGGCGCGGGTGTATGCGAATGGGGTGGCATCGCACTTGTCTGGATGTAAAAGTTCGTCGCCGTTGTGCACGCGGTGGGAGCACCGGATCTGCTGCTTCTATGTTGAATCACGTACGTGTTCTGTGTCGGAAAGGCTTGAGAAGCAACGGTCATGTAGTTCCCCTGCGAGATAACAGCCATGTTATGGGAATGAGCAGCGTGCGTATGAGAATGCGGATGAGCTACGGGCGGCACGCTCATCGACGGAGATTGTTGATACTGAGGCGGTACGTGCGTCGTGTGTGCAACTGTCGTATGACTCGAGTGGGAAGTCGTGTGGCTCGTATGCGAGGTCGTATGCTGTGAAGAAGACTGAGCATGGGATGTGGGTGGGGTCGCTCGATGCGACCTGCTGCTCTGTTGCGCGGATCTGGATCTGTGAGTCGTTTGTGAACCACTCGCTCTTTTATTACTATGAGACTGCGTCTGTTGCTGCTGTTGATGCGTAGACTGCTGTTGCGGTTGTTGCTGTGCTTGGGACTGCTGTTGCTGCTGTTGTTGCTGCTGCTGTTGTTGCTGCTGCTGCTGCTGCGACTGACTGTGTGACATAGATTGATTTTGTTGGCCGAGAGACAACTGCATCGGTTGCGGCGTGTGGGACGGTGGTAGAGGTTGCGGCGTGTGACTTTGAGGCATCGGTTGTGGACTTAGCGTTGATATACTTTGTGGTGTATGCGATTGAGAAAGGGGTTGCGGTGTATGAGACTGAGGTAACGGCTGTGGCGTGTGACTTTGTGGAAGAGGCTGAGGACTGTGCGTCTGCATACTCTGAGGCGTATGCGATTGCGGTGTCCGTGGCTGCTGAAGAGGCTGAGGTGTGTGCGGTTGATGCATCGGATGGATGGTGACGTGAGTCGACGGAGTGTGCTGGGGCATCGAACAATCGCCGTATGGCACTTGCGGCGGTATGTTCACGGCGACTGACGTTACCGGTGTAGTCATTTGCATGGACACTGGAATTGGAACGGTAACGGAGGGTGGCATAGATGGTAACGCACTAGGCGGTCGCTCGACACTATTTTGCGACGCAAGATCGCTAGCGATCGATGTAGGCGATTCCAGGCCTAATTGACTGACATCCAAATCACATTGACTGTAATGCAAAGAGTGCACCGAATTCGTTGTTGAGTCGGGAGTGTAAACTCCCATGGATGGTAAGTCCGGTTGTGAAGGAGGTGTCCTCTTCACTGAGCCAGGATTATCCAAATGCGGTGTCGTCTTACCACTCTCAGGCGAATTTTGCTTCAATTCTTCGGAATGCATTTGGAGATGAATGTTAGTATCCTGTTGCTCGATAATAGGTAGAACTTTTTCTTGAGGTGTGAGTGGCCCCGTTTCAGGTGATGCGATATTCGAAATAGTAGACGATGCTTCCTTTTTATCTGCAAGCGTCGTAGAAGATGTGTCTATCTTTGGCCTCGTTAACTCCTCCTTGGAATTCTTCGTGAACAACCTCTCGGAAATTCCATCGGGTTCCTTACAGCTATCTACATCTTGAGTAACAGTTTTCAATTTATCGATTTCTTCTTCTTTAGCTAAAGAAAGTTCAGGTACCAATTTAGACGTTTCCGGACTGCAAATTGCTTTTTCTATTACCGAATCTTTATCACACTGCCTCTTTGCGACCTCGTTCCGTTCCTTCTCTTCTTGTTCATGTTCCTTCGCACTTTCTCTCCTCTCTCCGTCACCTCCCTCTTCACATCTATCTCGTTCTTTCGCTTCAGGCGTAAAGTCTGGTTTCGGTTTTTCTACAACAATCGCGTCGTTGTCTTCGAGTTTCTTCTTTCCCGTATCATCCTCCACTTTTTCGGTTTCTTTGTTTGAATCGATTCTTGCGGTACTCGAACATTGTAACACAGATTTCGGCCTCGGCGCAGGTACTTCATCTTCACCTTCGTCTTCGTCTCCCCCCTCGTACTCACCCGGGCTAGCAGTCGTTGTCACTTCTGTTTCTTGAAGTACGCTCGATTCTTGACCGTCGTCGGCACTGCCAGCACCGCTACTGTCACCAACATTGTTATCTTCCGTAATACTGTTGTTCTCAATGGTTTCCATTAAATTATTATTCTCTTTTTCCTTAGCAACGAGTTGTTCCGAAACGGGCGACGACTGTCGTTTATTCGCCGAAGAAGACATGGTTTTCTCAGAACTCGACGACAGAGACAAAGATGGTGTAATTATCACAGAAGTTTCCACTCGATCTTTCGCTGAGTTCTCGGTCTTCACCTGCGACATCTTTGAAGTATCCTTCTCGACTTTCGCTCTTCCTCGTCTCGAAGATACAAGTGAATTTTTAACTTCCTTCGTTGTTTCTTCTTTACCGTTACATTGATTTTGCTCTAAATTCTTCTTTTCCTTCGCTTGTTTCGTTTGTAAGTACTTAGTTTGTCGACTGGTTACTTTCAACAAGATATCGTCCACTTTGCATTGTTTCTTCGCGGGTCTTTGCACGACCGAGGACAGACTCGAGTCTCCGACTTTAGAAAACGATTTTTCCGTTTCGCTTATGCTGTCACTGTCTTTAAGGGAACCGTCCTTGTCTCTCGTCTTATCGCGTTCTTTCGGTTTCTCTTTTTCCTTATCCTTCTCTTTTTCTCGCAACGATTCACGAGTCCGTTTCCTAGAACTAACTTCCGACTTCTCCTCCTTATCTTCTTCAGTCTTTTCGGAATGTTTTCGTTTACGCAACGGCGTCGTAGCTGTTACCGTCGCAGTTGTCGTTACCGACTCACTGCCAGCAAGTGTCTTAGGTATTCTAATTCTTCTCCTAGACATCGTTGTCGTAGCAGGCGTCACTGCCGCGGATGCCGATGCCGACGATGTTCCTTTCGTTGAATTTGCGTTTTTTGAAGCGGCTATTGCCCGAGAATGCCTGGGCGTCGAAACGTTCTTCGACTCTATTTCCATCGGCTCTTTAGCATTTCCTAACGCAACATTTCGGCTTTCTTTCTCAGACTCTTTCGTCCCCTTTGATTCTCTTGAGTCCTTCATATTCTTCGCTTCTTTGGGAATCGCATCTTTTTGTGCCGGAGACTTCTGAACGGTCTTTTGCTTCAATGGTGACGATCTCCTCTGCGCCACCTTCCTTCCTCTCGGCTTCTTCTTTATTTTGACCTTCTGAATTTTCTCGACAATCGCTGGCACGTGCTTCGGTTCTACCACAGGAGAAGACTCGGAGCTGGTATCACCGCTCTCTTCAGGACTTTGATAAGGATTAGGTATTTGTGTGAGCAACGGAATCCATCTGAGACAATCGGGGTCTAATCTGATACGAGAACTCTTCCGTATCTTCGCCATATGAGCGTCAACTTTACTCCAATCGACCACTACAGCCACCTTAGAGTTCCCTTCCCCGGGTAGGTGAACGGACCTAATGAATCCCAGCAATTGCATCGCCGTCGCGATGTCATGAGCTGATACACCGGTCTCCTTCGTTATGTCGGCAAACTCGATTTCGATGGCATTCCTATGGGCGTCTAAGTATTCGAGTACAACGCTTTTCCAGAACGAATGATACGATACCCGGCCGAGATCGGAAAGAGGCTTTTCCGGCGTGCCCGGAATGCCTTCCACTTTCGACAGAAGGTAACTAAATTCGATCAGAAACCTACCGAATCCTTGCCTCTGATACTGTGGCAAAGTCATGATACACGACACATTGTACCTCTGTGCGGGACAATGTTTCTCTTTGCTGAAGTAACCCACCAAATGACAGCCGTACTTGTCGTTTTTCGTTACAGCGTAAAACAAAAACGGCTCCACGTCGTAATATAGTGTCTTATGATCCAAAAACAATTTCGCTAATAAACACAAATTTTGACAATAGATTTTGTTTACATTGCCGTCAATCTGTAACATAGAAATGGGAAACTCTTGTTGGTCTATGATCGACAAAAAGTCAGTTAAACATCTAATGAAATCAATTCGTACCTCGAAAACGGAGAGTCCATTACACCTATAGATTTCGGTAGCCGGTGGATGCCTCCACTGGCATTTATCCATGTGCCTGTCAAGCACGGCTCGACTCTTTGTATATTTTAAACAGAATTCACAGAAGAATAGTTTTGGTAATCTTGCGTACTCCTGCGGGAAAGGGCTCGAGTACCACGTCTCGACCTCGTATCGGCCGAAGACTATAGCCGCGGGATTCCTAACGCCACTGCCTAAGTTGGTCGTATTTCCCGAATTGACGGTCAGACCGGTATCTTCTTCGTCACCGCTAACAGCGGTTAACCGAGCTGCTCTGTCTCGAGCTTCCTTGAAAAGGTCAACATCCTTTTGAGTAACTCCTGGTGGTAAAGTTTGAGGCAGAATCGGTTCCTCTGTAAATATATACAACGGATACAAATCATTTTTGTGCTCGTACGTTTACGATGAACAGAACAAGGAAAATAAATTTTATTTGTAACTAATCCATTGAAATTCCAACCGTCAATTTTCTCAATTTTGTCAATCTCTAATCGTTCAAAAGAAAAATTCAATTTTTGCTGTGATGTACCGTATCATGATAATAAAAGAATGTAATATTTGCAGAATGTACAGAACAAACAAAATGTTACTATGATTCTCTGATATGAAATGGCGTTAGTACAAGGATTATGAAAGAAAGTATAAAAATTTGTTCATTAGGAGAAGCAAAATTATTGTAGATCAAAGGCAAAACTATTGAACTTATGCATTGAAAACCTTCAATGATACTGAGTGCGACAACAATCGATTAGCTGTTAATAGTGTAAGTATTATCCAAAGCAAAGCTATGGGGTAGGTGGTTTCGTGGGATGTGTTGGCATAGTATTAAATTGACTCTTCGAAAAACGCTTCTTTTCTTCCTTTAGTATTGGTTTCTTCGTTTTGTATCTTTTCTCTCGTTTAGTCTTTCCCTCTTCTTACATTTCTGTTTTGAATTTTCTATTTTGTTCGTGAAAACGACAGTGTCTGCTGAATATCAGCAGTAACACGTAGACTTCGGCATTAATTAAGCTCTGAGGGAAAAACATGCCACCCAGTGCCGAGTTGCTTCGTCCTGGGAACAGCTCTCTACCAGTTTCTTCACGTCTTTTTTTTCATATTTTTCTATAAAACTGAAAATACTTCTTTCTACGATTTCCGTTGAACTTTGTATCTACTTTGTACTCGAAGAACCACAAGTCTCGACTATTCTAGATACGTGAATAATAATCTGAATTGTTCTTGTATTGTAAAAAAAAAACTAATGCTAATCTGATGAAAAACATGAAAAACCATGATAGAAGAAGCGTCAATACTATTTTGGGTATCTAATTATTAAACGTTCGTAAAAGTATCGTCAAGTGCGTCGATTTGCGTACGTGCATAAATTACAATTTCAACATAATTGTACAGTATATGGAAGAAAAAAAGGAGGAAGGGTTTGCATAGTCAAATAACAACGTATTAGTAACATGCAATAACCATGTAAGTTTCCGTAATGTAAAACCAGTGGAAACTCGATTCCGAAACCCTGTTGAATTTCAATATTGAAAGCGGAAGAGGATGCGATCGTTTGAAGTAAGAAGTTCCCATAAATTTTACACCACGCAATAAGCAATAAACAACGCGTGTTCCTTTAAGGGACCTGATTGTTCTTGTTATACGATTACGATATGTAGTATGCAGTTAAAGCTCTTTAAAAAATAACGAACGTAAATTGAATAAAGAAACCGCTGTATACCATTATCATAGAATAATCACGTTATCTTGGAACACGTCGTTGTCATTATGTCAAACGTACATATACACACACATCATACCACACCACACCGCCAACACATCCACGTGGTGGTGAGCGAGGATTAGATTAGAGGGAATTCTTCTTTGCGACTTGGGTGCATCATCGAGGTTAGGACTCGTGAACGGGTGGGGTAGACTCTTACCCTTCCTGGTGGAGCAGGGTGTCGCGCGGGGTGTCGTGGTGGTGTTGGTGGTGGTGGCGCTAGTACAGGCTCGTGGATTGGACTTTTGGCTAGGAATTGACTTGACGGAATCGGAACTGTGGCTGGACTTTGAAACAGCGGGCACAGGGTGGCGTGTCTGATTCGCTTCTACAAGTGTGTTTCTCTTTCGCGAGGAGAGATCGTGCCTGAAAGCCGGCGAAGGCGACGGCGACGGCGACGAAGACGGTGAAGGCGACGACGATCTCGATCGCGACGGCGAAGACGATGACGAAGACGACGAAGACGACGACGACGATGATGACGACGACGACAACGAGAACGGTAATGGTAATTGCAATGGTAACTGTAACGGTAAAGGCGATGGTGATGCTGGGACCGCCGCATCTGCCGCGAATTTCACTAACGTCGAGTCGTCTTTCATAAGTTTCCTCCTCTCTTGTTCATGCCTTTTACTGTTCACTGCGGTCTTCACCAAATTCGATGGTGTCATTTTCGGTAGTTTCTCATTAAGAGAACTGAACAATGTTTCATCAGAAGGTGTGAAAATCCCAGGTCGAGGCACTCTCGGCACATCATTGCTCGTTTCTATTTTTCTCTTCTGTTCTTTCGATTTCCCTAGACCGGTTATAGCACTGTTCCTCTTATTATTCTGCGCTTCTCTCATTATTTTACTCGTCTTGTTTCGACTTGCATCGTCCGTGTTAGGCCGTTTTCTCCTATCGGGCGCGTAATTAGGCGTTGGCGCACTAGACCTTGTTCTGGTACTAGTAGGTACTGAAAAGAAGTGACTCAAACCGTCGTACAGACCTTTTAATTGACCGGAACCAGGTTTCACTTTGTTATCTGAACTAGTAGAGTCATTTTTTTGTTTCTTCTTAGCATCTACCGAGTTGGCAGTAGGTTGCACAGGCAAACTGAACGTCGGTGTACCGCTCACATCAAGTTTAGGTAACTGCGGCCCAAACGTATTAGTTATATTACTAAAAAAGGGTGACACCATGTGGAGCTTGACCGCGGCAGCAGCGAAACCCCATGGTTTATCTTCGTTTATACCACAAGCGAATAGACCCCTCGGTTTCGGAGAGTTAACATGATGATTCTCTTGACAATTACGATTTCTATTACGGCCTCGGTTCCTGACGGGAACATTCTGTTCGTCTTCCGTAGAGGACGAGTTGCTCGAATCGCCAGAACTGTTATCATCTTCTTTCACCCTCTCCACCTCCTCTTCTTCACCGTCCTCGTCGTTATCGCCGGTCGTATCACTGGTGTCGTCGGAGGAATCGCTATCGGTCGCGTCACTGCTACTGCTACTGCTAGACACTAGCGGTACTTTTTTACCGGATACCGGGAGTTTCTGGTTCACGTTACCCCGAGTCAACCTAGGACTAATGTTTTGCGAACATTTCAATTTATCACCGCCCCCCACCCGCTTCAGCTTATTGTGCTCCGCGTTAAACGCACTAAGCCTAAAGAACTTTTGCTTCTCTTTGGAGATCCTATCGTTCTTTTCCTCGAGTAGCCTACCCTGGCCTGCGAGTGGGGTGGGGGGTTGTGGTAAAGGAGAGGAAATTAAAGGTGGTTGACGAGGGGAGACAACACCCGCATTACCGTCCGAGCTGCTGTCCACCTGAGCCACTCCTGCGCCGCTTTTTCTACTCGGTGTTGCAATCGCCAAGCTCTTTCTGGACACTGTCGATCTGAAACAAACATTACCCGTTCGAATTCATCGTGCACCAACTTGTAAGACATTTCTGACTCTACTTCATTCTTTTCCAACGAAGAAAACATGTTGAACGATCACTAGCATACTGGCTCAGAATTTAAAGTAATTGATTTGGATTAAAATATATTTTGCTTACTTTCTATTTTCACGTAACTTGCTGAGTCTCTTCCTCGCACTGCTCGGCGTGTCATCGAGAGAACTCGATGTATCTTGAGTCTTGCTCCTTTTACTGTCATCCTTCGAAACGGGTAAATGCGCCGTCTGACAGTGCCGACACCTCCAGGGAGTTTTATTCTTTTTATCAAGGACAGGGTCTAAACAAGTGGGATGATAACACTTCACGCAACCCGCGCATTTCACCAGATAGTTTTGAGATTCCCGTTCCAACTGACAACCAGCACACGTCGGAGAACAGTCGTCGCAAGACCATGTTATTCCTCTGTCAACGAGGATCGAAAGTTCTGGGGGTGCACAAGAATTGTGCAAAGCCGCGCCACACACACTGCACCTGCTCAGTTTCTCGTTCACGGTCTTTTTCGCATTGTTATTGTTCCCGGCTAGCGTCGCTCCTAAACATTCTCGGCATATTGGTAACGGCGCTGGGAGCTGTGAAAAATCGAACGTTCGGCATTAGCATTTAATCAGAGATTCAACATGTTTTCCGCACTAAACATATGTATCGAAATTGGCTCCTAAGAACAGCGACTTGTTGCTCCACGGCAAAGAATAGTATTGGACGCGCGACTAAACTCCTACGTTACGCGAAACATTTTCTCCCGATATCGGTTGACTGGGTTTTCATAACAACGAGAAATGCCGAAAGGACAAATCGATCCTGCTATACGTTATCGCAATGTTTAATCGTTGGGAACCTTCAGTATCAATAATAATGTACGTTAAATCATAACCAGTAGCTGGTTTTTAATGCATTTTCTTTTCTGTGGCAAATATAATTATGGAAAGGGCAAAACATGTATATACATGAAGTCGAATAAAAGTGCATACTATTGGGGATCGCTAAGTGCGGGATTGGTAGGACCGCGCCGCGCCGGCGTGATGGTTGTATAACTTTCTGTGCTTTCTGCGGCCTGACACGCATAAAACGCGGTCGACAGGAGGAATAGGGAGGAGAAATGATTGTCAGAGAGGGGGAAAAAGAGAATGAGAGAGGGAAATGAGAGGGAAAGAGAGAAGTGTGTGCGTAGAGTAGAGGATCAATAAGAGAAGCGATATACAAACGGAAGTTGACCGAGATAGCATATCGTCCAGAGTCTCGCCCCCTCTGTTCAAGTTCCCCTCCGTCACGACTTAAGTTAACCATCTTGAGGCGCGGGCACACGCCGTGACTCCCCAAGCTACGGATACAGAACCGTGAAACCGGGAGTCTCATTCGACGAATATTTACATCGTTAGCTACTCGAGATTCAAAAGAATGGTCCAATTTTCAATATTACGTGCACCGAGGTAAAGAACTGGACATTAAACAAATTCTACTATAGCAAATTAGTTCACAACCATCTTTTTCGAGCTGATTCTTAGGTGTCAGCAATCAATTATAGATAATATTCGTGATTAGCTAGAGTGCAACCAAATCGGAAAGCAAAACTTCCCGTTAGTTCTCTATGACACCTTCACCTTATTTTCGTTGTTTCGTTCCGGATCTGAAAGTTATTCCTAGAATACAATTTATCCAGCGCTATAACATTCGCGTGAGAATGCAATAAGGTGTACAAACGGATGTAAGGAAGACCACGGAAGAAGTTAAATGAATTCAAGTACGGGCAGTAGATACGAATCGGTACGTTGCATACATGCGTCACTGTACGTATACGTGTTGCGAGCGAATCCATTGGTATACTGCGAATAATTCAGACCCGGCGCGGCACCGCGCTGGTTCAAGTTTAAGATCATGAAGTTCCTCGCAACAAATGCGATTCTTGTCCGTGAACCGAATACAAGGATTTGTACATGCACGAGAAACTGAACCGAACGTGTACAATGCAAGGAGCAATAAATAAAATTGCATACCTTAGGAGCAAGAGGCTCTGGAGAACCAGTAACGGTTTCCCCGTGCTTTTTGAGAGAAGGTGGCCTGTCCGGTTGCCGGAAGAAGTTGCCATCCTGGATCACGAGTCCTCGATCAATTGCCCTTTTAGCTGCTAGTTTGAGCGCTGTTCTCAAATCACCCTCTGCTTGCTCTTCTACCGTGTGACTCTGCCTGAGATATTTCTCGATGGTTTTCAGAGTCGAACCCTCTCTTTCACCCAATTCTCGGACAGCTTTGCCCAGTACTTTACTGAGATCGGTACTCTTAGAGACTCTGAGCGGTCTCGTCTGAAAGCCGCAGGGGTCCTTGTACGAAGATTGTCCTTTATTAAAAATCTTGAGCACATCGCCACGTTTGACAGCGATCTCCAGATGTTCGGCTATCTCTTCCTCGTGATAATTATGATGCTGCCTGATAGCGTGGCATATCCGCTCGACACTCGGTCTCTGTTTCTGGGTGCGTATCTTCCGAATCGCATCCAGGAACCAAGCTGACCATGTCTCGGCGGTCTCAGGTTCGTCCATTTCTTGTCTCCGTCGGCCGTCTGCCGACAGAAGCGGCGGCAGCGGCGGCACCGGCGGCGACGATCACGTACCAGGCCAGGTTATTTTACACCCGATGAACGACGCTCGACCGTCTCCAGATCGGTTTCTTGCGAGCAATACTTGCGACACTCACATTCTGTGACTTTGCCTTGTAAAATTCACGCAGTGGCTCCTTCACATTTCTCCCCGAAGGTCACTCCGTGCTCTTCTTATGCTGATTCTAAAATCAGACGTTGGAAATCTCTCAAAACTATGCAATCTTTAAGGGAACATTCGACTGATATCCCCCTAAGCGATGAACTTTCTCTCTGACTCGTAAGCGAATTTGAACAGATACGCGGAAACGCAAAAAGAAACGAGAGAAATATTCTTAAAATCAGAGTAGCAATCGTTATTGCATAATTTTAAACCACTCATCGATATGCACGATTTACCAATAATATGTCGCTCTTAAAACTATCTCTACAAAATGTTGGTCTGTTGATAAATTCTCGGTCAACTCTCAATTATAAATGAAACTTGCATATTGAGCGATGATTACGCATGCACACATTGAACTATTATATATCTGAAACGGGATGCAGTGTTACGATGTAAACTGACCTAGCTCAACGTTACCGGTAGTAAAAACATCTCTAAACTCGTAATTACTTGTTTAATAAACAGTGTATCCAGTTACTAAAACAAAAATATAATTTGGGAATATCTACATCATCCGTTATTTTCCTTAAAACGACATTCTTTCTACATGAATCAACGTGAAACGCGTTCGTGTAATATGACTAAGCGTCGTTCAGTGAGCGCGACATCAAATCACGCTCTGGGCAATCGTTCACTGTTTTCTTACGAGACACAGTAAAATTTAAGAAAAGCACCCCGACTTGTTTCCACGGCAAGCTTATTTAGCAAGTTAATCGGCCAATTACAGGCATGCTCCCAAGAATTACGAAGAACAGCTACGCGACGGCGGGAACAGGGCAGCGAGGCGACGCGACCCGACGGTAACACAGCAAACGGGCGAACGTACTATACAACCACAATTTTCCGTCGAAAGTAAACGAATGTATATTATTTATACATCGCATCGCAACACAACGAGCGTTCTATACTCGATCGCGCCTACAGGTGCGATTGCCCGGGCCGTTATTAGCCGCACTCAAATGTTGGCCGAACGATTACATCTACTGTCTAATTTATCTATCGTTCGGCCGGTTAAGACATATGACGGTAACGAGGACGAAGGGAGGCCAGTAGTCAAGCCGATTGACTGACTCTGCTTGCCGGGGTCCCTCTCACCCGACGGAGAGGTAAAAGAGAGGATGGTAACGGAGAGAAAGAAAGAGAGAGCAGCTGCTACTGAGAAAACGAACGGTCGCTGAACAACTCTAACCGCCGGCTTGTTGTTTCTCGCTTCCCTCGTTCTTTATCGAATTCGTTCCTACGATGTATACGCTTTACCTCGCACAGCTTTGAAACCAGCGAACATTTTCATCGGAACTCCCGAAAATATCCGTTTATCGATATATGAATCGTACGTTAAACATGGTTTATGAATGAACAATCTCGTCCGGTTACAAGGATGTGAAAGGGTCAAGAAAAAAATATTCTATCTGAGTAATATGTTTGCTAACAATCACCAACTGCCGTCGGTAGCCATTATAATCTCAATATGCTTAAAATCGTAAATTCGTACATCGATTGAAAATGTAGTTCGATGATTCTCGACCAAAAACTATTGTTACTGTTCGCGTAAGTCACTTCCCTCCCAAGAAACACACGGTTCGTAACTAACGAGCTTAAATTCCGACGCGTGGCCGTCGCCCACAAAGCCGTCGCTAACCGATCGCAATTGCTCGTCACCTGTTAGCTAAACGTAACGATACTAGAACGCCGAGTTTCTCGTCTCCCGGGCATGTAGAGTCAACCCGCAACGCATATGGACGAAAAATGTATAACGATTTAATTACGTGTCGAGATAGACAGCGAGGACACAAGTTTCTCGAAGCCCGACGGGCAGCCATCTTGGGTAGGTACGGTCAACTCTTGGCTGTTTCGCACAATTTTTTCGCGCCCAAGAACGACGGTTCCACGGCAACATCGTGGCCTACAGCTTTGCAAGGAAACGCGCGGCCGATCCATGCCATTACAACATCCACCTGTTTCCGCATAATTGGAAACAGATGCGTTAAGATGAATCGAGGAGAAACACCGAGTACAGAAGATTATCTCCCTCTCTTTTGCACTCAATTACACACTAACTCTCTCTCCCTCTCACTCTTTCACGAGCTGGCGGCCCGACCCGCTGGCCCGTATGCGTCTGGTGATGATTCGCATGGTTCTCCTCGCAAGATTTAACGAGGGACTAATTGTTTTTACCTGATCGCGGTAATCCCATGAATAAATCCACTGAGGAACGAGCACGAGTCACTGGACACCGACGCACGGGATGTTTAATCACGATCACCAATTATCTCGCGACAACGGCGTCACATTTCACACAAATCAACAAAGGTTACCCACTTGACAAAGATGGCGGTCGCGGAGGTTACACACTGTGCGCACGCGGTGGGGAGCGTACTGCGCACACCGCGCGCTCACAGTTACGGCAGAATCACGAAACAGTCGTAGCGGCACGCGTTTTCGTCGACCAATCAAACCATCCACTTTGTCTCGTACTATATACATACACTCTCATTATCGGTCACACGTGCGTCCCGCTTCGTCTTTCTTTAGCGCGCGCGCACCGATCATTTCTCTATATACGATAATGCATGCGATGTATATGTGTCCGCCGAGTCTGGCCGAGTCCCACGGGACGGGACGGGACATGGGGCCATGGGACGGGGCAGGAGCACCTGGACGGACAAGAAAAATCTTAAAGCGCGGGAACGTAAGCGCGACTGAACCGAATATCTACCTAAATCAACAGGAGTGTACCACTGCATCTATGCACGATATGCACGTACATATAGTATATCCGCGTCGTTGCATTTTATTTTTCCTTCCCGAGAACTATGTATTCTAACATTCGTTATCGTCTCTTACTTCGCGCTCGCTTTAACATTCCCAATTAGTTCCTCGACACCGCAGCGCGGGCCTCCGTTGTTCGGTGTTCGGTGCAGGAACATTGCCAGAACCTTTGTCAACAAGCTTCCAGGACCGTACTGAACTACCGTTAGCCCCCGGATCTACAATAACAGACAAAATATTTGCTCTGCCTCTTATACTGAGGGCTAGTAATCACCCTACCACCCTACTTCATCTTACCATTTTTTCGAGTCATTAAAATCTATTCTAATACTATTTGTTTAATATTTTTCATACATTTTATCGAAATTAATTAGTGTTCAATCGAAAATACATATACATACACACAAATTAATTCTTGTAGTTATGTAGTGTACAGTTTAGTAATGATATTATTGATTTACTTAAGAATGTGTGCATAAATACTATGCAACGTTTTCATCTATCTATGAAATGTAGTCATGCATTTATGAAACAAACGTACGTGCTACACTTGAGAGTATGTCTTAAAAATAAAGTAAATAGTACATTCGTTACTAAAGTGTAAAAAATTTCCCAACTACGTGAACCAAAATATTTGATCATGAGTACTATTTTTATGATAATCTATTTCGTATCCTTTTCGTATGTTACATCACATTCTTAAAATAAAGTGTATACATATTTTCATCTTAAGCAATGGCGTACGTACTGTTATTTATAGATTTATTTTATAATTGTAGAGTACATGGTAAAAATTACTAAAACAACAATGTTTATTAAGTACAAGATTTACAATGATTAGTTACATTAAGCACTATCAGGGAGTAAAATCAGGTTTTCCCTCGTAAGTACATCCTGATCTTTGTACAATTTGAGTTGCTGCCCAAATACCGCATTTCACGCAAACTTCTATGTTTCTGCCTTGTATAAGTTGAGCCAAAAAACCTAAAACAAAGCCATGATACTACATGAAAAAAGGAAATAACACCCAGATGACAACATACCTCCTACAAATGCATCGCCTGCACCATTAGTATCGACAACTTTCTCTTGTGGTAGCTTTATAGCAGGGACCTCTGTTACGACGTCATCTTTAACTACTATTATATTATCAGCACCTTGCGTTATCACAACGATTCTTTTTCTTTTCTCATTCATTTTTTTCATTCGAGATAATTTTAATGCGATCTCCTTCCTATCTCTAGTTTGAAAATCATTTGCTTTTGCGAACGCATCGGCTTCCGTTTCGTTACCGAATAATATATCGACGTAAGGAAGAGCTGCTAACATTTGTTCTTTATAATGTTCGCATAAAAACGGTGCGCTAAGATTCATGGTGAACATTTTATTCGTCCCATGAACACGTTGGGCAACTGCTTGAATCGTCTCCGGGCTTACGGTTAAAAAGAAGCTCTGGAATCAAAGTCACGAATTTAAATACGAATATAAAAGTGCATAAGCATTACGCGTCACTCGTTTCGTACATACAGAAACATAAATGTATTCAGCACTTTCTATAAGTCTTTTGTTTTCGGGTTCCTCTATGTGCGAAAGCGAGAAGCAAGTAGCAGCAGCCAAGTTCGCGCATAATGATCGCTCATTCCCCGTAATAAGAACTGCACAGGTACCGGTAGGTTCCTTCTCTGTATATTGATAACGAACATTTAAGCCATCCGCACGTGCCTTATCCTCTAAAATTTTTGAATATTTGTCCTTCCCAACGCAACCCATATAAGTTGTGATCCTTGGCTTCTCCAGGAACCACTAAAGAATTATCTATGTTTGATAGTTCTAATGAAATTTAAATTTCTATTTTACATCGTAAAGCACTTACTTGTGCTACTCTCATTGTATTTTGTACAGAACCTCCGGCTATAAATTCCGCTTTGTACAATTCTATTAGCTCATCGTACATCGGCTTGTGTTTTTCTTCGGCAAGTATTGCATTATTCGAATGTAAGCCATACTTTTTTAAAAAATTTTTATCTACATTTGCCGAAATATCAAGAAGAGGATTACCCATCCCCAAGAGAAGGCCATCTCTGAAATAATCAAAAACTATCAAATAAAATATAGTCGTAAAATGAATCTAATATATGTATATAGGAGTCATACTGATTTAAACCCGTTGTGTAACCTAACGCAAAACCTACTATTAAAACAATGCTATTCCATATTTTTAGAACTATCCCTATACAAGCAAACAGTTATCGTTATATAACTATATAATAAAAATCGACAATTTTCATTTATGGAGAATTCAAATAAATAGCTGCAATTCATTTAGGAACTGCAATTGAGACGGAGGGTCAATTCTGCAAGCACATGATCAAGGTGCGCGTGTCCAGTCGAGCATAACCTTCATTCGTATATATTTTTAACATAACCTCTAACGCAAGTTACATCACGGATGCACTACAAATCGAACAATAATAAAGACTGTATCATCATACCTTAAATCCACCGTCATTTGTTACGATCTTCAGCTACTGTGGAGAACAATTTGAAATTTCCATAAACAGACAGCAACGATACGCAGCTCAGCTACAACCGAACTGCTCCTCGCTTACAATAGAAAACTCCAATACAATCACGTGTACTTTGAATGATGTTTGCATTAGAATATTATCTTTACAGCGATCACTTTCCGAATTACGTAAATATAGACATTACATTGAATGGTTTATTCCAGTATTTTGATAAATCGTGAAAAGAATATCGGTCTTTTTAACTCTTTTAAATATAAGGAGTCGGTCGTACGTAAACGTTATATTTACATATATGCATGTTACAGTAAAAGCTTATCTGAAATATAAATAACGTAATGTAACCTGGTAACTAATGGTAATACTATATTTATTGATATTGTGTGTATATGTAATTCCAATCTTTATTTTTAATATCATGGATCACAGGGATTTACTAATAATTGCTTTCTACTTGAAACGAAAGAACTGAGGGATTTAGCAAAACTACATTTATCTTGTATTTACGAGTTTAATATTATACTATTTATCAATAAATTTCGATACACGGAGGCGCTGTTTTACGATTGTATATGCCTTTGAAAATTAGTTCCAATAGATATCTTTCGATTATCGATCGTTCCATTAATATGTATAATAATCAAACATAGTTTACGATAAAAAAATCAATATTTGTAGACAAACAAATAGGACGATTATAGATTATTATAGATTAAAGATCTATGATTAAAGTATCACAATGAAATATCGCATTTAAGTGATTGTGTGGTATCACTTATATATTGGAATGAAACGAGAAGGAATATCAAGGAAGGGAAGAAAGGGATAAAGATTTTTACTTCTTTACGATACCTTCAAACGTTTCCACACAGTGGAAGAAAACCAATCTTAGCAAGATATAAAAACGTGTTGCGATGAGCGAATTTGTAGCCATTTTTCCAGTATATTAGAAGTCTGGATATCTATATGAGGTTCTTCATATTGCAGATGATCAACGTGCATGAGCGTGCACCTCCTAAGAAAGAAAATATGACTCTCAAAAAGTTCAGCAAAGGCACAAGTGAATGCTATTGAATTTGAACAGTTTCAGAGAAGAGAACAGCGAGTTCTCGGTTTATCTGACAGTGTTACGCGATTCAGAATGTGACGCTGATCGTGAATGAACTTGCCTTGATCATAATACGTGGTTTGCACCCAATTATCTGTCCAGAGTGGGATGCGTGTGTCCACCAGTACGTCTGTGGGGCGTTGCGAGCGTCTCTTAGTCAATGAAGCACGGAAGCAGTGTCCTGGTCGACAAATTACATCTCACCACATAGGATACCATCGTAGAACCACTTTCTCTCTCGGTTTTCATTCTTTTCCTTCTTTCAATCTCTCCTTCTCTTTATCTCTCATTTTCTTTCTTTCTTTCTGTCTTGGTACTCGACATGGTCAACCCCAGCAGCTCCTTCCAAGTATGTCCAGAAGCGCATGAGGCAGAGGCTCTATCGTGTCCTATATCATACATCACATTACAATATGCATAATGCTTTTTAGATTTTCCTGTGACGCGTTTCTCTATCATTTTTTTTTGTGCAACTGATAACCGACGACCCGGTATACAAGACGCGTGTTTCTCGCCGCGCGTGCGAACAATTATACCGTACCGGTTCTGTTGGCTAATTACTTCCGTGCTCGTACACGCATAGTGAACCCACCTCTCTTTAGTCGTTATCTTTCACGCTTTTTTTTTCAAAAGACGCGTCGTCTATCGTACAGGGTATATCTGACACAACGCTTCACATTTACTCGTGAAGGTGCTCGTACCGTATTCTCGAGGATGAGTAGCGAGCGGCAACTACGTCCGTTTGGGAACATTCGTTTCGTCGACCTTTTCTCAACGTCTCGACAATCCCGGTATATCCGTATTTCAACTTGACCGGTTGCCACGGCTTCAACGGCGGAGCAACGGTTATCGAGACTATCAAAATGCCATAGCTTTTCGCTCGTAAAACGACGACGGAACAACGTGTATGGGTCACGACGGCGGACATCCCGATCGACGTGTACTCCGGTAGTCTTCGGCGATTCGATTTATCGACGATAGTGGTTTCCATATTCAAGTTCCGGACACGATGACACGATATACGTATATACACGTATGCATCTACATTCTACACGTATCGATCTAGAAATTCCGCATCATAATATTCTGCTCTTTCGCCCATTCCATCGACTATCCGCGTGCAAATCGATTCAAATTGAATTGTGCATAGCAAGTTGACTATGACGTTTTACAGGGTGTGACAGGATGCTTTTTTTAAGTCCGTTCCACGTGAAAGAATCAATCTAATATATTAGTTTCGACCGTAATTTGCCCGTTTTCCATAATGATTCATGGAGCGAAGTTTAAGACACCCGCGACTTCAGAGATCGCTACGCTTCAACAGGTTGAAGCGAACGAATGTTTCATATGATAAAAGAGATGTGTATGTATGTAAGTGTGTAGTCGCGGAAGTGTACAAGGCCTAAAAGTTAAAATATCTCTGCTGATGCCTATTAGAAATTTTAAGAGTGTAAACACAGAAATGTGCTCCTCCTAAATCTGCATATACTGAAAGAGTAATGTATGTAGTACCGGTGATCTATATGCATTCTGTTGTCCTTTTATTGTCAATATTGGTCGATGATCGCGATACGCGACGCGCAGGAAGCCAACGAAGCGTTTACACGTATCACGACCGATTATATGATGTATATACTTGCTTAGACGATCTGTATTGCGAAGGGAAATATCGGTTGGATAATATTATTAAGTCGAGGGGTTTAGGGTTTGAAAGGAGGGGCGGAAGTTAACTTGAGCGCCGAAAAACGGTACAAGTGATGATTAAAGAACACGAAACGCCTTTTTTTGTGAATTTTACAGTACATTGTTATTACATTCGCTTCTTTAAACCATTATTAGTATGATTATCATTAATCTAATTACCATTGAAAACAGGTCGTATTATCAAATAAAAGAGGAAGAGAACGAGAAAAAAAGAAAAAAAATATTGAAGATAGAGAAATATTACACAGCCACGCTGTGCATACGCTGCTCGAAACGAAAAACGATGGTCATCCGTATATATTTAAATGTGAGTGTGTGTGTATATCTGTTTACGTGTATTTATAAGCTAAACGGAGCGCAACTGCGATTACCATATTGACCTTCGGTAATTATCCACGATAATTAATTCTAATACGTTAATAAAACGATATTACGTTACTACAGATTAACGATATAATATTCGCACGACCGACTTTACGATTTCAATACAGAATCGACGCATCCTACGAGACTATTGTGTATCAGAAATTGTATGATTAAGGTTTTTTTCGTTCTTCATGATCGGGTCAAATGATTCGAATAGTCGAACCCGCACGCATTTCTCTCGTTACTTTAAAGGAAAATTACATAAATACGATATTATCTATCATCCCGTATCGAGAAGAATCAGGATACACGACGGGAGGATGTTACACGGTATCGGTCACACGCACGCAGATTGTTGCCTTCATCGGCGCCTCTTAATAAGCTAAGCAAGAAACTTTATCATCGCATAATTCGAACAACCGCTCTGCCATTTACAATTATTTTCGCACGCATTACGAAAATCCCGTTATTGCCTAGACAAATTTTACGGGGTTGAATCTATCGGGATCGTCCAAGATGTGACAAACGAAACCCGCGCGTAAGGCGGAAGTAACAAAAATGAAACAAAAAGAATGAAGTAAAATAAATGTTCACGAACGTACGTTTATACGATGCTCCGATTTTGTGATTGCGACACGTAGCGAAACGCCCAGCTCGTAACGGTGGAAAAAAGACGCGAAGCTCAGCTTCTATTCCAATCAATATCATTATCGTTTGACTGCAGATTTGTCCGATCGATAGTTCTTGACGATCGGGTTTGAGTAGAGACAGTAACCGCGATTGAAACGTTTTGTCGCAGAAGGGACGCGAAATATTTGTACGATCTCAAATCAAGAATGCGCGTACGCGCGCGTCATTGTCACAGAAACGGCCATCGAACACTTTATTTATATATATTATATATATGCATCATCCTACCAATTCATTCTTCGAATTAACTTAAATAGAATTTGAATTAGCGAACATGAAGAACGAATTGTTTCGCTCTCTGCAGAATAATGGAAGCAAATCAAAAATGAATCCAATTGAACAGCCGGTCGAAAAATCTATTCGGTAGGAGGATGCCACAATACAATTTCTTACATCGAAAATGAGAAAATCTGCTTATCGATTCGATGACTATCGAATAGATACGCGTGTCGAAATACCAAAGAAGAGTGTTTTGAAGGGACCGGGCAAGAAATATTGAACATGGCAAAACGGTTCGAAGGAATTGAGAAGGTGCCAAAGGAAAAAGCTGATGGAACATCGTAACGAGATGCGCGTCATGCATAAATCTCGAAAGTGGGAAAATCGGGCGGGCATCGGTAGGAAGAAGAAATAAAGAGCGAAGGGGTAAACGGCAACGGCGTCCTAACAGAGACCTGCACAATTCGATAAAATTTTTTTACTGCTTAATCGGTATGATTTCTGTATTCTCATTTAAAGGGGAGCGGACGGGGGATTCTCGTCTAAATAGCATATACTGCGGAGAGAGTACATGTTCCGATAGAGCGGGCGAATGGTAGATCTTCGCGCGTGCAGATCGACAGACACAGACGGCCAAGAGTATCTCGGTCCCGAGGCTTCCTGCTAGCGACAGACACAGACCCGACACAGAGACAGACAGACCGACAGAGACCGATCCGAGCCCGACGCGACGATTTAGTATGGTGCGAACCGGCGCGACGGCGATGGCCCTCGTAATCCCGGTCTGGTAACCAAAATTAATCTAACGTCAGTTACACGAGATTGATAGAACGAATTTTTAAGTATTTATATAGTTTTCCAGTTTTTTTAGAACACGGGCCAAGAGAGGAACAACTTGTGAGACACAAAAAGGGCGGATAGGTAAGTAGACAAGGGGGTAAAGTATGTATCGTGGTAGAAAGAAATAAATTGTACCATCTTCGACAGATAGAACGATTTATAACGGTGTTAATTTTGAGAGGGAGATTTCGGTATTACTTTCGTGGGAAATAGTTAATTAAAT